TCAGGAGGTCCTGTTATAGTACGAGCTTCTTTGGAAGGACGACTCACTTTGAACACTCCAGCCAGTGTCAATACCAAACCTCCAGCAGCACCGATCAGAAAGACAGCAGCGACATTCAATCCAAAAGCCACACCGGCATTGGTGATCATGACCAAAGGTCCTATCCTGGCGAGCTCACGAAAGGGAGCTAATCCTTCCGTGAATGGGATGAAACATGCGTTGATAATCGCGCATACCTAGACATTTAAGTGTACCGTCTGACGGACAGTTTGTATTCGATACACTCACTGGCGCATAATAATGAAGAGAGCAGAGTGGATCCATCTTTTTTTGTCAGAAGACAGCCAGTCGGAAGATAGCCCACTGACCTTGAATCCTTGTAATAATATTTGAATCATCACAAGTCTGGATGATTCGAACAACACCGCGCTCGCCTGGCACAAAAAACCGAATAATTCAAAATGAACCTCTCCGTAGGCCGCTACTAATCAGCTGAATCAACGATCGCATTGTGCAAGCTGACCTAAAGCACAACCGGTCGAGATGAGCTACATCTATGAGCTCGGGATCTGAAAAGACAGAGGACTTACGATGACGATCATGACCAGTTTCTGGGTCAAAGCCTGTAATTTGAAGATGGCAGAGATTAGGAGGATAGCAACGGGCGTGAAAGCTTTTAACATCTGAATGAATGATACGCTCAATCTTTATCCTCAGTTCAGTGCTCGATCCACAGTTCCCGAAATGAACCTACGAGAGATAAGCGGTGTTACTCAAAATGAGAGAGCCTGAAAAGAGGACACCAATGGGTAAAATCGATTTGAAATATGTATCACGCTTTATTTCAGCTTCCATCAGGAAAAAGCAAAGAAAAAACTCACGGTCATGTTGACATTATCTAAACCGTCCATTAAATGGGTGGTGGCTCTGAGAACTCTGGTTCCTATGGCCTGTATGTCAGCTATACCTAATCACTGTAAAGTAGACCAGCTCACGGCACATCCTAAATGATAAGAAGTTCTTGAACAATCAGCCTGGAACCGCAATCAGTCTCACAGCTTACATGAAGATTGGCTGCAAAATCAGTCATGTTGCAATAGGAAAGAGGGATGGACGTACGTATGGGAAATTGAGATTAGAGTATAAGTATTCTGTCTATCAGCAAGAAGATTCTTCAGGATGGAATGAACATACTGTTGTATAATATGACGGCTGAAGAGAGGCATATCCAGATAGGTACTGTCCGTTAGCAAGGTTGCACTTATATAGGTAATTTCTTCCAAATGCGCTATCAGTGTACCAGGTATAGTCCCTCTTCGAAGGAAGTCCATGGCGACCAGGAGTCGAGAAGAGTGACCGGGGTGAGGAGAGAATGGGGGAAGGAACGGGAAGGCTGACTGATCATAGCCGCCGATAATCTCTTGGACTTCTTTTCAGGTATGTTAGGTGTGATATCAATCACCTTAGCCCCCATCTATCGTCAGCTCGACCTACGCCATCTCGAGGGAGGGGAGATCATGGCAGAAGCGAGCTATGAAGCGGTAGAAGTGAGGAGTTGAAGATGAGAGCCAGGAAGAGGACTGAGCGAGGTCGGTATATTATACAAGGGTAGAGAGCAAAGTAAGTGAGTTATAACAAACATACCAGATCCTTCTCATGAAACGGGTTCCCACCATGCCCAACTCCTCCCTCTGTCTTCTCAGACATATTGCGATGGGGGGAATCCCTCCTTGATGCCGTTGTCCTATGAGGGGAAGCAGAAGGTGAATCTGGTGGTGATGAGGAAGAATGTCCCCCGGGTCCGCGAGGGGTATGAACAGTGTGGACTTGATGGGAAGAATGCGAGGGTAAGAGGGGAGGAGGAGTGGGGCGCATGGAGGGAATTGACGGTGATGGTCGTTCTTTCTTTCCTTCGCTGTCTTCTTGACACCTACCACCCGACTTAGTGAGCTGGTGATTAGGGAAGCGGTAGAAGGGGCGTAGGATGTGAGTCCATATATCAAGCGTCAACAAGTAGTGTGTTTGACCATGTGCGCAGAGAGGTCTTAGACATGGATTGTTGTAAAACATGGACACGTTTAGCTGGTGAAACCTTAAAATATGCAATCGAAAGTGGCTGTCACCAGATGCAAACCTACTAAGGAATGTTACAAAGACTACAAGATCACTGATTCTATACATGTCATGATGTCGTGTCAAAACTAAAAATCATGTCAGCTGGGTGATACATGTAGTGAAAGCATATGTTTTGGAGACTTACTCGGATTTGATATGTCCCACTGGCTTTGGAAAGATATCGGACCCATTTCACAGATTGATAACCGCTCTTTTCGAACACTTTCAAGAACCTGACAAGTAGACCAGAGGCTGTGAACATGACCACTGAAGCGTGAGTGAATGCGAGAGGTAGAAGAAGGGACATACCGGAAAAGTCTACTTCTATAGGAGGACGAGACCAAGCTTGACGATGAGTGGTTTGAGCTAAATCGGCATCGGCAGTGAGGATGGCTTCTTGAGCTCCTTGTATTCGAGGGATCCTACACGTCAGAGAGTTTTCTGACAGCGAATGACGAAGGCATACATGAGTACGAAAGCAGCTGTTCGGGGGGTGGAGAGCAAGGAACGAGTAAGAAGGCGGACAAACTCACTTCCAAATGATAATATTCTCAGCAGGCACATACTTTGCCTTTCCTATCCCGACTTTAGTGTTGACCATCGTGGTATTCAGAGGTGTAGGTATTCTCAACACCACATTGTTGGCACTCAATTTAGGATCGTACGCGGCACGTAAATGTATAGTATATTCCACTTTCGACTTTGTAGGCTCCACTACATGTGTTTGTAAACGGAACGGAAGGTTTATATTGGTGGTAGAACGGTATCTAAAAAAACAATTTAGGATGTGTCACAAACATATCATGAAATACTCACCTCATAAGCTCAAACTCGCCGTCTGGAGGGATGAAGGATATGGAACGATCAGAATCGAATCTTCCTAATCGAACGCATTGATGAAATTGACAATCGTCCAGTTCCACCGCGCTTTCAGATTTCGGTGCTGAATCGCCCCTGGGTGTTCAGCTTCACAGTGACTACATTACTGCACGAGCTATTTACCGTTTCTGTAAGACCAGCTTATCGTTTAAACCAAATTTACATTCTGGTGTTCCACTCAGATAAGCTCTCATCATGATTTGTCCATCTACATCCGCTCGTAGTACAGTACCTGAAGGTTAGTTTGCAGCCGCGTACTTCAGAAGTGAATAGACACACCCTCTTTGCTCATCATGAGATTAACAGTTTCGATGACATCAACGAAAGCTTCATTCTTTCTGTACTTGACGTCCGAACGTCTCCAAGATGTAGCACCGGTTGCTTGAATGGTGATTTTTGACGAGTCCTCTCTCTTTCACTCATCAGCTGTGAACTTTTGTGGCCGAAGGAGAGGTACCACTGCAAGCTCCGATTTGATACTCTCGGTCGTTATGTACATCTTCAACGTGTCTGTTTCCGAATTTTGAGGATACCCAAAGTCCAATATCTCTACATGTGTCAGCACCACCCCTCAGGCAAGATCCCACGAATGGGGCTCACCATCCAATAGCTCATATATCAAGACAAAATTATTCTTCACACTCTCTTCGTCCAGTTTGCCAAAATAAGATTTCGAGATACTCATAAATCTGTAGAGAAACTCAAACACCAAAGCGGCAGAGGCATTACACCTGATTAATTAGCTAAATTCGGAAGTTTCAAAAGAAGGTAGAGCTGACTTTGTCACAGCGACCAGGTAGACATTGCCGACCCTGACATGAAAGAAGGATGTTGAGCCGAGCGTGATAATAGGTGAACGGACGTCTGCGTTGGAGATGACTTGAATTCTAAAGACATCGGAGATGGAACGTCTATAGATCAGCTTAGTCATGAATCCACGAGCAAGGACACGCACTTGACATCTGTACGAAATAATCGGGAGGTGAGTACCTATTTGTCAGCTAAAGAGCCATGTTCGGAGTGAATAGCAGCGAACCTCTCCCTTTCGATTGAAGATGAAGAAAGCCTGTATGTCAGATGATAGATCTTGTTCAAGATGCAGCGTACTGACCGATATCATATTGCCTTTCTGTTAAGCTACAAGACGAATAGACGAAAGACAATAGCTGCCATGTACATAGCTGCTCTGCTCTGCTCGGGCGGTCGGTCACTGACCGCTTGCCCACGTCATAATTTCCCGATAAAAGCTTATCACTCTTCCACGGTTGAAAGAAAGTCTGAAAGTCACTGACTTTCGAGGTGTTACAGGTGCAACATCGACTCGACATTCCTCTCTCACCTTTGTGCTCACTGCTCCCTACGTTGCACTCGCTGCGTGTATGATAACCCCCTGTATACGGCTCTGCATCTCGACATATCCATTCATCCAAAGGACCCCTGTACTCGTTCATCTCGCATTTCGACTCGCTCAAAGTCCGAGCTCAACCTCTTCGTTTCTATCACCCTCACCAACAACAATTAATCAACAAAAGCTGTACCGCAGTACTTCATCTACAATGTCTGCAGAGGGACAAAGTAAAGTGCAGTCCGAGTTATTGCCGGCTGAGCAAACCAATCCCGCAGCTCCTTCCCCTTCATCTTCTCCTGCCCAGACCAGTGCTCCGGGGGGAGAAGAGGGCGAGGGGTCTGGGGAGGTGAGCAAGAGTGCAGGTCAGTCTTGTAACCACTGTCAAGAACTCTGCTGATGTTCCAGCCAAAAAAGAAGCAAAAAGATTAGAAAAACTGGCCAGGCTTGCCGCCAAACAGGCTGCCGCACCTATAATCAACGCCACGAAGAAGGACAGGAAAGAGAAGGAGAAGAAAGAGGTAGCCCCTACCGAGGCATGGGTCAACACCACACCACCTGGAGAAAAGAAAGGCGAGTACAGTGATACGTTGCTCAAGGTGATCAAAGCTGACATGACAGATGTTTCAGGCGACCTTCCTCCCGGCGGGTATGATCCTATACAGGTCGAAGCAGGTCATTATGAATGGTGGCGTGCCAAAGGTTTCTTCAAACCACGATTCAAACCAAATGGGGAACCTCTGGACAAAGGCACATTCTCTATCACTTTTCCTCCTCCCAACGTCACCGGTAACCTTCACATCGGCCACGCTCTCACCGTGTCCTTGGAAGACGCTTTGATAAGATGGTGAGTCAAATCATCTTATTTCTGAAATGGTGGTTGAACACATAGGAAACGCATGCAGGGATATACCACCTTGTTCCTCCCCGGATATGATCACGCCGGCATCGCAACTCAGGCGGTGGTTGAGTCTAGATTGATAAAGACGGAAGGTCATTCACGGCATCACTATGGAAGGGAGAAATTCCTGGAGAAAGTTTGGGAATGGAAAGATCAGTGAGCTGGACCTACAACATCGAAGTCTCAAGCTGACTGTGGAGATACCAAGAAAAGATAACAAACCAAATGTCGAGACTGGGAGGGTCCTTCGACTGGGACCGTGTGGCATTTACCATGAATGAGGTCAGATTCTCACTCTCTGGCAGAAAATCGCTGACGAGATAGAATTTGAGCAAAGCCGTGCTTGAAACTTTCTGCCGGATGTATGAACGTGGCTCCTTATATCGTGCAAATCGTCTCGTCAATTGGTGCTGCTACCTGAATACCAGTTTGTCAAATCTGGAGGTCAGTCTTCCGGCTGGTACGAGGACCTCACTTATGTCGTCAGGTCGACCAAAAACACTTGACAGGTCGGACACTCATGAATGTCAAAGGGTACGACGTCAAGGAAAAGTTTGAATTCGGTGTCATTACCTCTTTCGCCTACCCCATCGAAGGTTCAGGTAGGTCCATCTGAAAATTCATTCCTCTCAGCTGACATTGTAGATGAGAAAATCATTGTGGCGACCACCCGTCCCGAGACAATGCTTGGTGACACTGCCATAGCCGTTCATCCCGACGATCCCAGGTACAAACACCTCCATGGCAAATTCGCTGTTCACCCTTTTATTCCCCGGCGTATTCCCATCATCACCGATGCCATCACTGTTGACATGGAATTCGGGACTGGTGCGGTAAAGATCACCCCAGCGCACGATCCGAACGATTTCGAGTGCGCTCAGAGGAATGGCTTGGAGTTCATTAGCTTGATGAACGATGATGGGACGTACAACGAGAACGCAGGACCTTATAAGGTGAGACATGCCCTTTAAATGTTCGTGAGAAAACTGACCGATAGGGAATGAGACGAATGCATGTCAGAAATGCAATTTTGCAAGCGTTGAAGGAGAAGGGGTTGTACGTCGAACAGAAGGACAACGATATGCAGATCCCTATATGCTCGTGAGTGCTTTTCAACCCAAAGATACAGGCTTCAATCATGGCAAAGCGGAATAGCTGACAACCAGTCGCTCCGGTGACGTCGTAGAGACAATCCTGAAGCCCCAGTGGTGGGTAAACTGCAAACCTTTAGCCGAAGAGGCCCTTAGAGTGGGTCTGTTCCTCAGCATTTGGCGTGGACTTATTGACACCTTAGCGTACCGAGGCTGGCGAATTAGACATCAAACCGAAATCCTCGGCAAATGAGTGGGTGCGATGGATGGAAAACATGCAGGATTGGTGCATCTCCCGGCAACTGTGGTGGGGTCATCGATGTCCTGCCTATCTGCAGGCGTTTGAGGGAGAGGTGCCAGATGTAAGTATCTTCACCAGCAGGTGCTTTGCTTGGCTGTCCGACTGTCTGTCTGGTGCTGATATCAAAGACCGCCGATAACAAGAACTGGATCGTTGCTCGAAGTCAGGAAGAGGCAGAGGTCGAAGCCGAACGAAGAGCCAACGGGCGAAGATATACGTTATCGCAAGATCCAGATGTGCTCGACACATGGTTTTCCTCAGGTCTATGGCCATTCTCTACCATGGGCTGGCCAGAAAAGGTTAGTCTTAGTGCATCTGAGGGCACACATGCTACCACAGGAGTAACAGGCTGATCATATAGACTCGAGACATGGAGCTCTTTTACCCCAACTCTATCCTCGAAACAGGTTGGGATATCCTCTTCTTCTGGGTCGCTCGCATGGTTTTCTTCGGTAATCAACTCACTGGTCGAATGCCTTATCCCGAGGTCTTTTGTCATCCTATGGTCAGAGATGCCTATGGTCGGAAGATGTCCAAATCTCTTGGGAATGTCATTGATCCGTTGGATATTATCACGGGCCAAACGCTGCAGAAATTACATAACGACTTACGGATGGGAAACTTGCCTGATAGAGAGATCGTCAAGGCTGAAGAGGGTCAAAAAAAGTTGTATCCCAATGGGATCCCACAATGTGGGACGGATGCTTTAAGATTTACTCTATGTAACTATGTGACCGGTGGTGAGTGATCCCTATTTGATTTTGCTCTGTCATCTTCTCCACTGTATATCCCGCGTCCTAGCTGAATCATTCACGCGGCTGTGAGGCAGAAACTTGTTCAGCGCAATGGAAAGACACTCATGAAGCAGGAAGGGACATCAACATGGATATCAGCCGTGTCGAAGGTTATCGCAAATTCTGTAACAAATTATGGAACGCTACGAAATTCAGTTTGTTCCGATTTGGCCTCGTCGACATTGAGGGTAAAAGACAACCAGGGGCGAGCTTCGTTCCGCGCGCTTCTCCTCTGGTGCGTACTGTTCTTCTTCACTCGATTTCCAACCTGTAGTAAGATGCATGAAGCTAATATCCAGCCGAATGGGGAGGAGAGTTTGGTGGAAAAGTGGCTGTATCACAAATACAATATTGCTTGTGCTGCCGTCAATGACGCTCTCGACGCTCGCGAGTTCTATGATGCCACTACTGCCGCATATGCGTATTTCTTCTATGACATATGTGATGTGTACATTGTGAGTATATTTCGTATCTCCCTACTTTTCGCCCTCATATGACGTCCCTTACTCGCACTTCCAGACAGATGAACACCTGCCACACAGGTTCTTTGCTGAGGAATAATCAGGAAGCGACAAAGCCACTCTTCGAGTCCAACGCCGATTCCAAAGCCAGAACATCTGCCCAAAACACATTGTATACATGTCTGGAGGGAGGGTTGAAGTTATTGCACCCATTCATGCCCTATGTGACGGAAGATCTATGGCAACGACTGCCTAGACGATTGGACGATACATGTGAGAGTATCATGCTGGCTTCGTTTCCTGAAAAGGTGAGTGATCCCAATGTCGATCTTCCCAATTTAAATCCCGAATCTGCACTCCTATGCCTGTGCATGATCAGGTGTTATGTGACTGGACAATGTGTGTAGCGTAGCTAATTGTCAGAATGCCCGTCAGGACTTTCCCGAAGCAGCTGCGGACTTTGATCTGGTGGTCGAGTGCATCAAAGCTGCTCGATCGGTCTCGGGACTGTATAATTTACCTACCAACGGTAAGACGCTCGAGGATAAGATCACCAGTGAGTGTCAATTCATCGATCGTAACATTTGTCACTGCACTTCTGATCTATCTTTGCTCTATATCTCGTCGCAGCCAACGCGAGATGGGGCGCATGGAGTGCTTTCCCCATGGAAAGAGAAAAGCCACATATGAACACCACAGGACATTGAATAAACTGACCAATAGTCATTCTTCAAACCAAGAAAGCCGACCAAAGACAAATGTTCGAAACTCAACGCGATATCATCATAGCTCTCACCAAAGGTTGTGGGACTTGTTTGGTTGTTGAGCAAGATGATGAAGTCCCGAAAGGTTGTGGGTCGGAACTCGTCACCACGGACGTTACGGTTCATGTTGTGGTCCAGGTGAGTCTCCGCCCACTTGAATTTCCTTCGCCTCCTACCGGTATTCCTTACCTTACCCTTACACATTTACTTTGGTTCCTGCATTGGCAACCTTCCTGTGCGTTACGGTATCACAGTGCGCGAGACATGACAACACATATCAGAATCAACTGAGATGAAACAATTGTGATACTGATGTACAGGGAAAAGTCGACGCTAATGCCGAATTGAACAAACTTGATAAACGTCAAGCGATGGTTGTGGGGAACAAGGAGAAGTTACTCAAGATGATCCAACAACCGAGTTACGAAAAGACTGTCAAGGAAGAGGCCAAGGCGAGTAATCAAGACAAGGTGAGTGAGGGTTTCTTCTTCTCCGACAATGCCGCACTTGGTGGGCATGGTCACCAGTATCAGATTGTCATATGTCATTCTGCTTGTCCGCTCAGGTAACAAGGAGCTCGAAGTGTTTTTGATCGTGTTGATTTGAGCTGATCTGTAGTTGGAAAAACTCGACGCTGAATTGGAATCTATCCGTCTTGCTATCGAACGGTTCAATTCTTTCTTGTGATCAAACAACATATATCATTGTTCATGCATCTTTCAAACTTACCCACCGTGAAACATATCATGATGAATCCTCTCGTTCCTCACAATGTTCTAAATTTTCAAAGTGGTCCTCCACACTAATTGGACAATCATGGATTTTTCAGCATGTGTCTGATCAAGAAAGATATGGTATAACATCACGGATACTTCTCTAGCACAAAAAGATCCATAATCTACCATCTAATCATACAAACATAAATATCTTGTTCAGCACCTATTCTCATTTCTTTCTCTTTCTCACCTTCTTGTTGTTTCCTCTTATGATAATCACCAATTAACAACCTACCGACTTTTTCAGTTAAATCTTGATCTAAACTACCTAAACCTAGATTTAATTCTTCTAATGTATCTTCCATCATTTCTTTTCTACCTTTTCTCCAACCTGTAACTCTGTTTACTCCTGCTGGCCAACTACCAGATCTTCCAAGAGATTCTAAACTCATTGGAGGTTTACGATCAGGTGGAGTTATCATTATCATTGGACCTGTTCCTTCGTTTCCCATTCCACTTCCACCTCCAATACCACTTTCACTTCCACCTCCACCATTCACCCCATTGACTTCTACACCTTTTCCATGTATACCATCTCTACCTGAAATTCCTCCTTCGATAGGACGTATAATGGAAGTTGATCCTGCTCTATCTTTGAAATGTTGTTTTATCATTTGAACAGAAGCGACTTTTTTCTTTCCCGTTCCTTCCATTCCCTTATTGATGAAGGATTCTTCTTCTTTCAACTTTCCATCTTTCTGCATGGAATCTAAAGTTTCAAATCGTTTAACAGGTTTTAATGCTATAGGAGAAGTTTTTATCCCCGCTTCTACTGAAGAAAATGATCTAGATTGAGCTTGTGGTGTCATTTTGAGATTTATTGCTGAGAATTCATGTAAATGTATACCTATCGACATTGCCGTAGACCCGTTCAAAGCGCCGAAACCAGGTACTAACATCCATAATGGTATTCTATCAGGTTGAAGTGTTCCAATTTGACCATGTGATTTTTGAAGTTGTTTCTTATGAATATCATCCATTTGTATGATTTGTTCATCTTTCTTTTTCGACTCGTTCGCAGAATTGGAAGATGTATTGATCATTTGTGAATGGTCTTGATTTGAAGTTGTAACCGGAATAAGATCAGGGTCAGGGTTAGAGTGAGCATGGGAATGATGAGAAGGTGCTGAATTTCCTCTACTTGGTGATGGATCAGGTATCTCTGAAGGAGTAGAATGAAGTATAGGTGCAGAAGCTGTGATAACTGTCAATCTTGCTACTGGATCAGGAGGGTATTGTCTTTCTTGTGAATTTGAAACTAGCAAAGTTTGAGGTTTAGGGACATTCCAAGATCCACTCCTAGGAATATAACTTGTGGAAGGATTTGGGATAGGTACTTGAGCTATCTTTTCTATTTGACGATTTTGTTGATTTTCACCATTTGGAGAATTCGATCGTTGGATTTCACGAATTGGTTCGTTCTCCGGTTGTTGTTTCAAAAATCTAGAACCGTTGGAAGATGGGAATGGTTGTTCAGATGAAGATATACTTGATTCGGTATAGATATTGGGATATGAAGATGGAGTGAAAGAAGGTGATGATTCGGCAGGCCAAGCGTACATTGACATTGGTATCGCGTGGTGTAAAGCAAGATGAAGTGGTCTACTTTCTCTAAGACGGGTTTCTAATGGAGAAAATATGTATGCTGGTGGAGAGGATGTACGAGCCCAGGTTGATAATGATGCGAGGTGAGTTCTGTGTGTCAGTCAACTCTTCAAGGCTTATCCATCATTACCCATGGTCTCTCCGACATACTATTCTTTTGTGGATTTTAGAAGGAAAACATAGTCGAGACCATTGAATTATGGTGATAAGAACTCAAAGAGGGAGGAATCGGAAAGGGGTGGAAAGAAACACCCACTCGGTCACTTTGGAACATACGTAAGAGATGACAATGATTCGTGGTGGAGGTTGACAGGATCTGGCGATGTGGGCGAATACGGCTTGAGCGGGAAGAGGTTCAAACACTCCCTGATCGCCTGCGAGTCAACTACGAACAAGAACTCATTCGGACAGCCGAGACTTTGAACTAATGATCCAAGGCAGGAGACAATGAAACGACATGATGACGTGAATCAGGGGACGGTGATTGGCGAAAACCATTGGTAGACTTACGATAATCAATCTTTACCACCGGATCATGTAAAACGCTAAAAGGTTGTGGAACTGGATTTCTCACCGGTACACCGTTATCGTTTATACGAGTACCTTGATCCCCCGTGGAATATCTATTCGCATTTTCGTTCCCTGGTCCTATAAATCGATATTTCAAATGTAAAACATGTACATTAGAATAAGGTTGTGATGCCAGATACTAACAGTCAGTCGATTAACCGCTTCGTTACAAGAAGAGATTCCGATACTCACTCTGGCATGATCCAATAACCTAACTGTATCCCTGAAATCTTCACTGTTTCGAATACCCTCCGCACCCTCACCAGGGCTTCGCATGTAACTGGCAAAATTGCTGAATAAATACAAAGCGTCTTTGGTCGGTAAATCGGGCGAAAGGGGTCTTGTGAGGGGATGTCGGGCATTGGGTGAGGATGCGGATTGGGGAAGGTAATTCTGTGGTTGAGAAGGAGAGATGGGTGAATGAAAGTTTGACCATTGAGTGGTCACTGTCGGTTGAGGAGTATCTGACATCGTGGTCGGGAGAGAGTAATACAAGGCTATCACCAGTTGGACTACTCAGTAGGGATCCTTATACCAGTTGTGATGATCGACGTCTCCAGTTAGACAGTGAGATAGGTAAGATGGATAAGGGGGAAGAAGTGGAGATGAAGACGCCTATGACTCTCCAAGAAGAAGTCGGCTGCCGTAGGACAGGAGAGGGACTAGACAATGGATGTCAACAGAGAGATCTTGAGTCGGAATTGATGGATTTGACGATGTTCGACTTATCCTCTAGGGCTGCTTCGCCAACGGTCAAGCAGGATGGTGTGAGAGTGTGGATATTTGGAGTCTTCGAATTCAAGCACTCAGCTCGGATATCGGTCGGACTCACAACATGTAACTTGAATTCGCGCTGTGCTGTGAGAGAGATGAGCTGACAGGAAGGGGGTAAAAGATCAAAGGAGAGGAAGTTTACAAATGTGTCAGTGAAGATGACGTGTTGCAAAGCCGAAATGACAAGTCATAAGAGCTCCCGGTCGATAGAAAGGTAGTTAAGAATGAAGTGGTAAAAAGTAGTGAAAGTGAGTGATGTGAGTAAATGTCACGATGATAGATTGGTGAGAAGTGTAAACATCCCTCGGGTGACTTATTTCAGGGATAATCGTATGGTATGAAAATTCAGTAAAGGACATGAGGGGTTACAGCGGTCTGACGACAATTGAAACAATGGGATGAGGTTGGGGAAGGAGAGTAAAAGGAAAGTGCTCCTTTGTGGGAAGTCGACTAGCTTCATGAGGGTGACTCGGGGTTTCTTTATTAACCGATTCCGGTGAGAGAGTAAGTGGTAGATAGGTCAGAAGTAGTAGTCAGTGTGAACCAAGGGAGTATGAATACTTACTTTGATACTTTACAAGTTCATTACGAAGAGTCGTCTTTGTCGTTGGGGAGGGGGATGGGGTGGGGGAAGGGACGGAAGCAAATTCTTTACCTCACCTCCACCGCGCGTCGTCGCGTCTTCTGAAACGGAATCTCCATGTCGTTCGACCGTTCTAGAGTATGATCCATGAGCACCATTTGGCTATCTTCTACCCCCTTAAACCCATAGCGATATCTCCTTTCAATATGTCATCTTCCCCTCCTCTTGTCCTTCTCCCTGCACCTACCGAGTCGCTCACTCCCACTCCCACCTCCCTTCACCTTCTCCCCTTCTCGCTGAACATCCCATCAGTCCCTCATACACACCCTTCTCTCTCTCAATACTTCATACCTCGTCCCGCTCCCCCAAACTCTCAGATACCTACCGGAACACCAATCGCCTCTTTCCGTGGAAGACAACTTGTCGGTCAGATCATATCCCTTCCATCTGCATATAAAGGTTTGATCGTCTCTATCCCTCCTACTCAATCACTCATATCTTTCTCTTCCACCTCCAACGAACCATCCGATCCAGATGACAATGAGAAATCAGATGACATTTCCTCTCAAACGAATGTGAGACGATCTGGTAGAGTGAAAGGTGTAGGACAAGTAGCTTTATCAAGACCTAAAAGGGGTATTGTAACTCGGACGAAGAGATATAAACTTGATTCTGATACGGAAGAAGAAACGGACTTTTCTCCTAATTTGACACCTGGTACTGGAAGTTCAAGCTCTACAACTTTAAGAGAAAGTGGTGAAAATCACAATGAGGATGATGATGATGATGAAGAAGAAGAAGAAGGTATGATAATACGTGCTGAAATGATAAATGTTCAAACACCAAATAAAAGAAGAAAAACGATGATTCCTGAGATCAAAGTTCAAGAAGCTACTCCATTAAAAAAACCTCTTCCTACACCTAAAAAACGTTTAGGCGTAATATCTCCATTGAAGAATATGGATCCTAATCAAGATGCCCAACTCCCAAACAAATCAGACGATGAGGTTTCTGGGAAAGTGGAAAATAAGCAGATATCGGACGTTATCATGCACATCGACATTGAGGATATTGGTCAAACCCCCGTAATAGATCATGAGAGTGATGGGACGGAGATGAAACTAGATGAGGAGATTAAAGAAGAATTAATCCCTTCTCCAGGGACGGAAGATCAATTACCTACTTTTTCACTCTCACCACAGCCGTCAACGACTAGACCTTCGCCATTGAAAGCTCCAATCACTTCGGAGTCTGATGGGATTCCCATTGAGCTCAAGGTGGATGAAGTGATAGGGAAGAAGGAAAAGAAGAGAGACAGTTCAGGAAGACCAGGTATAAGAGAATTAGTTCCTATTCGTACTTTCACTTCGTTCATACTTTGGACACCGGACGCTTCTTTAGCCGGCTTTAGACCAGACGAGTTGATACCTTCATCCGATTCGTCGAACTCTACTTCGGAAAAACAGAAACCCGCTGATCCTGACACATCGAAAGTGTTGGGACTAAGGGAAGAAGACAGACTTGGACAGTCGAAAGAGTCAACAGTAAGAGAAGAAGACGATCATAAGATAGAGGAGAGAATGGGAGAAGGTGAGGAAGAGAAGGAAGAAAATCGAAGTGATCCAGCAAGGGATCATATTTCTATAAAAGGGGAAATTGCTAGTCAAGACAAGGGATGGTGGAGGACTGGAGGAGCAGGAGAAGGAGGAGATGAAGTCGTAAGATCTCTAGGGGAGTTCATAGGGTTGTTAGAAGCTGTAAGTGTTTTCTTTTTTCTTCCTTTTGGTCTGAAAAGGACTGATCAAAAGCTTCACCGACCCGTTTATCTTCATAGGAAAAGGGATGGTGAGTAGATAATCCAATGTCGAAACGGATGAATCATGTTATAACAAGACTTGAACAGTATATGAAATTGCATTATGAGTACAACATTTCAACAGATATTCACATTTTTCTTCTCCACTAATCATCATTGTTCAAGTTCAATAATTGTTTAAGATCCCCTTCCTCTTAAAATCCAGTTTCACCACATATGACTCCAAACAGATCGAAATCCGTTCTCTCACTCGTGATAAGTCACATCATCTCTCTCTAAAATATATATCAAACATTGCCTCATGTCTCAGTTCACTCCCGTTTACCACTCCATAAACATGTAAGAACAAAGTCGGATACCTCGTTGTGAAATAACTTAAAAATCCAGAGGGTAAAGAACCTAAATGTCGTTTGACGGAAGGTTCGAGATCTTGATAATGATGTTTTTTATTTCTCATTGCGCGTAAAAGATCACGGACGGTATGACCTTTGTATTTCCTATATTTACCTAGGTTGTTTATGAACACTCGATCTAATCGGGTATACCAATCTGTTCCTACTATGCTCGGAGCGTCTGCTTCGAGTAAAACGAGGGTAGGGTCGGGGGGATCAAGTTCCATATTCTCAAAGCCTGTTGGTCAACGCACCTTCCCCACTCTAGTGTGGCACGTTTCTGGAGCCGCCGGGAAGGAAAAGGAGCAGAAGTAAGAGGATCAAGACTGGGATCAAGATCTTGGATGGAGGTACATAGGGGAGTAAGCAGACGGAGAAGAAGAAGAATGTATGAAACACTCACGATCCGAAGCATCACACAAAAATGATAATCTTTTCGCTGCCGTCCAAAAGAAAGGATGACTCAAACATTCCTCGGTCCCAGGACGTGTCTCTGGGTTCATAGATAACAAAGCCGTGATTAAAGCTTTTGCCTCCCATCCTTCTTCCCCTAAAATATCCAACATGGGCAAATTGACAATTTCTCCCTTCACGATATTACTCTCCCGATTGTAAGTCTCACCATAAGGGTGTTCACCAGACATCAACACCCAAAAACATAAACAACCCAACGCAAACAGATCCACGGCTTTGGTGAGTCGACGTGACTTTTTACCGCCGGATAGATCGTCCGTGGACTGTGAAAAGTCGAGAAGAGAAGTGGAAGAGGACGATGAAGAGTGTGAATGTGAAGAAGAAGGATCGAAATCTTCATTTAATCGGACTTGACCTCGAATGCATTCAGGAGCTCGCCATCCGAGTGAACCAGCGACATTGTTAGCTGTTGGAGCGAAAGAGGATTGGTCTTGTTCTAATCGACGAGCGAGACCGAAATCTGATACGAGCATACGGAGGGATCCGTCTTTGGCTTGAGATACGAGTACGTTTCTAGACCATCAGAACACTTACTCGCAAATTCCATATAGTTTTATCAATCATCACGCAAAACAGGGAAAGAAGTTAGAAGTGGGGGGTGAAAGTGGGATCCAGAGGAATGAGCATAGGATCATCTGGTGAAAAAAGGACGGTGACAGCAATGAAAATCAATAGAGACACCCACTGAGGTTTGATATCCCGATGAATGATCTTCATCGCATGCAAGTGGTTCAACCCCGACATGACTTGAACCAACGCCTTCTTCCTATCCAGTGCACTTGCCAGCTCTTGGTACTTATCCGGGCTTTCCATCAGGTCCGCCAAAGATGCCTGACACAAGTCCAGGGCGATATACAGGAAATTATCCCTTCGCTCTTGGCAGTAATCTGAGATGTCAGCTATGGCAACATTGATCATGTTCTCTCACTCACATCGAATCACATTCGGATGGTCGTCACTAGCCTGCAGTAGCTTGACCTCCTGACTCGCCAAACGAGTGAAATCACTCAAGAGCCGTTTGACTGCCACAGGTCTGCCGCCCCACGTGCCTTTCAGCACGACCGTACCGTGAGAACCGAAACCTGAGTGGTCAGCGGACCTCATATGAACGTGAGATGAATCACTGACCAATGACGGAGTCTGAAATTATTAGACTCTCCTTGTCATTTTCATCCTTCAGATTCACTGTGGACAGTTGCCGTGGTAAGTCGGGCAACGGCTTTTCACGTATATGTGGGGAAGGAGAGGTGCTGCTTCCTTCACCACGATCATCATACTCCGCTTCATCTTCACCGCCTTCCTGTTCTTCTTGACCAGGAGAATCGCGTTTCTTTTTCTTGCCCCTGACCCGCCGCCGACCGGGCTTCTTCTTGAGGACATTGCCTAATTCCAAATCCCCTGACGGGGCTAAGGTTGTCCCGTTGGAATCCCCGGTCTCCGACTTTGGCGTCTCAAAGGTGACCCCCAGCCGTTTTTGTACGACTTCCGGAGGTGTCACAACGACATTTGGTGCTTGTAGCTCTAAGACATCTTGAACAAGAAGGGGCGTCTTCTCTGTGGGCGCAGTGATGTGCTGTTGGGCTGCAGATTTGCTCCAACGGGTGATTCCTACTGCCATCGCCCCCAGCGACACCAAAGCGCCGAGCATGAACACCGGCCACATCCCTTTCACCGTTCGCCGCCCTTTCGGGCCGACATCACGATGTTCCTCAGCACCCTCGATCAAACGTACCTCTTCCTTTGGTGGATCCAGAAGGTAAGGAAGAAGCTGGTCCTGTTCGAGGACTTCCTCCGTCAGCAGAAACGAGCCATTTGCCAACGTCCCGGGCCGAGGAGGAGGGGCAAAGTTGATCAAGGGGTACGAGTCGGACGAAAGGGCATAGAGAAGCCGACGATGAGAAGAACTATCGCCCGGAACATTTCTTGTTGGGGATCGTGAGGCATTCGTGGGTTCTTCGGAAGGATCGACGGACAAAGGAAGGGCCCCGATATAAGTCGTGGGAGGTCTGTTACGTATGTCGAGCTGTGATGTTGGGACTTTCGCAGGGAGAGGGAAGAGCGACGGGAGATGAGGAGGAGGTTGAGGGACAAGTATAGGTTTGGCCCCAGACGTAAGAGGAAGAAGGATATCGTATACAGCGATTCTGGAGTTATCAGCAATGTTAGACCTAAGATATATATAACCCACCCTATACTACCAAGATTGGACACCCATCGCATTCCGCCGCCATGTTCCACACCAACAGCCACACCATCATGACCCAGCTCCACTCTCAAACGTTTGGCCTCGGTTCCATCTGCCTCCCAGAGTTGCTTTGTCATTCCGGACTTTGCCCAGTATTCCGCCATAGGCCGGTCATAGCTGTTGGGCAGGTACGTTGAGTAGACAATTTCCTGGACCCCTCTTTGGTCTCCTCGAGGTGAGCGAGCCTCTCCTGTGAGAAGTGGAGCTGGCGAGGAATGTATGGTCAGGCGATAATCTGTACGTCCGACAAAAAGAATGTCTTGGGGGTTTTGAGGGCGGCTTTCGAGATCATCAAGATCTGCATCGCATGACCCATCATCGGCAAGTTGGGATAGATTGGCAGACAGAGTAGTGAAGCAGTCCAGCTGCTGGCCGGTGCGGAGATCTAGAGTGAGAAGAGATGATTGTTTGGAGCCTGTGAAAATCCGACCGGGCGAGTGAGGAAAGGTGAATGGAGAGAGCTCGATACTTTTCCCGTCAGTTTTGATGTCCTTAAGAGTGTAAAACCTCTCACAGTTGTTCCACCGACAGAGGTAGTCGGCGTACTTTGGGGCTTTGCTTCCCATCCTCTTCTTCGAATACAAACAAGCCTCCGCTGAGCGGCTCAACGATGTATTCCTCTCCATCCACTCGCCCTCGAAACCCACCACCGACCAAAGGATCTACCCCATCGCTCAAAGTCCACCGTATCTTCCCTCCATCCCTATCTACCGCATGTAACGCGCCGTCAATGGTCGATACCAATACGAATGGTAGCAAGTCATAATCGACTTCCGGACGGGCGACGCTTGGAGTAAGATGTCTTGGGGATCGAGTAGGGGGTAGAGAAACGACTGCGGGATATGGATCGGGTACAGCTTCGCCACGGAGACAGACCAGAAGTGGTAGAATCAATATTAGGAGGTAAGCCCCAATCAAAAAGCCAGGGTTCATATTGCAAAGGTGGGTGAGAACATATCTCTCCTCAAGGTAAAGGACGGAAGGAAGGGGCCAGTGGAGCGCTCATGATCTTCTGACCGTCCTCCCAGAGGTGTGATCGAGGCTTCAGGTACCAGAATTTCTGAATGGCGTTGCTTGATAGATGGGTGAGCAGGTTATGAGGCAAGATACGACAAGAAGAACAAGAGGGAATGTAGAGGAAATATGGTCAGGAAATTCCCCTTTGTGAGTGAGGGGGCGAGAAGGGTGATTGATACTTTTGATACCGCTCCAAAATCCTTTGGGTGAGGTATAGACACGTCATGATATTAGTGCCTGGCCAAAGATTTCGTCTGGGACCAGTTTGGTGCATGTTTTCTTCACCTACTTACTTACACTTTTCCATCTTTTCGTCATGTCCACCAAGACTCGTGGTATCAAGCGACCGGGCCCGTCCAGCAATGACAGGGCAAAGTTCAAGTCTGCAAGATTCAACAAGCCATCGAGAGCTCAGAAGCCGAGTATCAAGTCCGAGAAGTCTCCTGAACATGCAGCCCCACAACGCAAGCGGCCCATCACTCAGCAGGGGATGGGCGATGAACCAGACGAGGAGGACGTAGAGTCGGACGGAATGGATGTAGACTCTTTGGATGAAAAGCCAGACGAGCTTACGAAAGACGAACCCCCCGCAGAGAAAAAGGTCAGAATGACAAAAGCCGAAAGAGCCGCTCTGCATGCTGCTCAGCCTCACCGAACAACCTTACTCCCTTCTTATCCCCTCCTCCAAGACACTCTACTACCTTTGTGGGAAAAGGCAAGACGGTCAGACCTCGCAAAAGAAGAACGCAAGACAACCATCGCCGAGCTGTGGACAGCCGCACAAGGACGAGTGGGGGAAATCTTCAGGAGTCATAAAGGGGCTCGGATCCTGCAAACGGTATGTGCAAGCTCTCAGTCGTGGGCACGGCTGACCGACCGATTGTCAAACACGGCGGGAAAGACGAGCGTCTTGGTGTCGCTATGGAACTTCAACCCCAATGGAGAGCAATGATGGAGTCCAAGTACTCAAAAGTAAGCAGCTTTTACGGGGAGATTATCGCTGACAATAGTTCCTCATTGGCAAACTCATCAGATTTTGCCCTACTATTCGACCACTTCTCATACAAGCCATATCCCCCGATCTTCTCCGCCTCCTGTCCCACGCAGAGGCCGTGCAGCCATTGGCAGATCTCTACGATTTGTACGCTACCGGTAAAGAGCGTAAGCTCCTCATCCGAGGATTTTACCCCAAGGAAGTCATCATCTTTGACGATAGCAAAGATGAGATCAAGGGTCTGGAAGAGGTGCTCTCCACTATGGGAGAGGGAACAGGAAAGGAAAGAGTACTCGATGCGGTCGGAAAGACAGTTGTGGACGTGTAAGTCAGCACTTACAAACAGAGACGTCTGCTCACGACAAGCTTCAACTCCACTCAGAAGAAAGCTTTGACTCAGCAGATCTTCCACCGCTTGGTTCTGGAATATCTCACATGCATCTATCGGTTTCTGGAAACCGAGATTGCTGAGACGAAGATGCATGAGCTGCTGTCTGCGTGAGTGATCATGCTACCTCAGTCTCGAGTGACTAGTTGCTAACCCCCAAGTGCTTTGGAAAGCTTGCCGGAAATCATTCATACGAAGGACGGATCGTCTGTCGTGCGATTCCTTATCGTCCGAGGTCATGCCAAAGTGAGTGACGTGTGGATGTTCATCCTGCGTATCTGACCCGTAGGAACGCAAACAGACACTGCAGCAACTTCGAAAGCACACAGAGGCCATCTGCAAAGATGCAGAAGCTCAATTAGTCTTGTTCACCGCCTTTGACTGTGTCGAGTCAGTGCACAATGCCACCGATGTGGAATCGTACTGACCTACAGCGACACCAAACTCATGGGCAAAACTTTCATCTCGGTAAGCTACTCCGATTTGCCCAGAATATGCTAAATGATCAGGATATCACGACCCTTTCTCACACCCTCGCTTTTGACAAAACCGGCCGTCGAGCCATGCTTTATCTCCTAGCACCTACATCAACGAGACACAATATACCGGCTGTACTTCAATCTCTCCAAGTATCCGCCACCCAAGCTACAGAGTTCGCAACGAGTAAGAAGGATCCTATCCTACGGCGAGAAGAGATCCGGGCGTATGCCAGTGAAGGACTGTTGAAAGCCGTAGAAGAGAAGGGCCCAGAGATGGTTAGAGATCCAGGCGCGGGTTTGGTTGTACAAGAAATTATGTTGTCAACTATGGGTGGTGAGTCTTCTTGGCCCAATTTCCCTTCGAGAGTCCTCGTGGACTGACGACCTTAGATAAGAGTCAAGCCATCAAGGCCCTCATTAAACCCATCTGCGGACCGTATACAGTTTCCACTGGATATCACATTCTCGACTTACCCCACGCCAGTCGAACATACAAGACCATGCTGTCAGGAGGTCACTTCAACTCTAAGTTGTCCGCTGTAGAAGTCGTCGATCAAAAGCTCCGATCAGACTTCAGTCAAGCCTTTTGGCAAGCCATCACATCGTCGGAAGCAGGAGGCGAGACAAACGTGGTCGAATTGGCCAAGGGCTCCCCGTTTATTGTTTTGGAAATGATTGGGGGACTTGAGGATGCCGGGAGACTACAAGATGTGAAGTCGGTTCTGGGAAGCAAAGATGTCAGACAGGCAATAGAGGCGGAAGGGCAAAAAGGAGCGACATTACTTGTTGAGAAATTGGCCATTCTGTGAAATGTTTCTTCGACACCATCTCGAAAATGTACATGACCGACACGTATCCATCTCAATGTGACCAGCTTAACCTGGCGTCGCATCTTCTTTGTGAATGCCCTCGATCGACTTCCAACCATAGAGGTTTACGACTTTATTGATTTCCTCATCGCTTCTGTCGTTCGGCAGTCATTGATGGTTTGCTACCAGCGCTGACACTCATGGGTCATTCTTTCCCACGTTCCGCAGACATGCCGCGCTATTACGCCTCACAAAACCTACTAGCATCACAAACTCATGGCCAGAACTTGTGGTGAATGGGGTAATCTTGAAGGCTATGACTTTTTTGTTTCTCACCTTCTAATCCTCCTTTCACCACAGAGCGACTTCTACTTTCTCAAGCATAGCATTACTAAACATTTCGGAGATGAAAAATGCTATGCTCGATTATCAGATTGGTCTTCTCTTTACTAATCCGTTCTCACTAACCTATAAAATCCTCTTCATTGCTCTCTCATCATCTCAACTCAATCGTTCATCTTTCAGCTCTTCCCACTCGCCACTCACTTATCACTATGCTCTTCAACAAACTCGCTTTCGTGTTCACGGCTCTGATTGCTATCCCGATCGCTATGGGACGAGTTTACAACATGTCGGCTCCTACCACGCTTCAAGTAGGAAAGGAATTTACGGCGGTACTGTATACCGAAGGATATATCACCAACTGGGAAGAATTCGGCGTGAGTGTAGTCCTTGCCAATCCCTCTTCATTCATGCACTCATGTTCTCCTCACTTCATCACCCGTACTACCCTCCATAACTTCTTCATTCAGACTAAAGCTGCCTTCACCCCTTCGTACTGCTCCTTGTCGAATTCCTCAAATGTCTGAACATCCCCTCGATCACCTCCAGACATTCATCGATCTTTTGAGAAGGATGTAGCATGATGTCTCGATAAACGAAATGCTAATCAGTAGGTGGTCTGGGGTCTCAAGAATAAAGCTTTCGACTGTACTATGTGTGAAGGTAGTGTGATCGGGTACGATAGTCTATAGTGAGTTTCACTCGTTCCACATCAGATATCATCCCCCTATATCTCCACCCAGCGTTACTTCTTCAATTTTACCTTGATATTCCCCGTCCATCCGGTGATTCCCAATGATGCAAAGCTCCATAATCTGTCATTCTATATGGAAGAGATCCAGAAGTAAAAGAAGACAACTAACCAATAGTAAATCCACTCCTGGCAATGACGGCAACGCTACCTATTCCGTAACCGTCCCGAATGAATTCTCTGGAGATTTCGATCTAGTGGCCGGTATCACTTATCTCACCGGGGTGAGTGATCCACCCGGTTTATCCACTTTAGACTGAGCCCCATCTTCCACTACACTATCCTTTTCCCAAGATCATGTATCTCTCTGTAGGGGGGGGTATATGTCTTTCAAGGTGAGATAAGTGTGATGCTGATTGACAGGCTTCGGGAGAACTCAGTGTTGTATTCTTCTCTCAGCCAGTGACAGTTGAATGAGGGGTGAACACATTCTACACTTTTTCTCAGGATAATGTTGTTTACCATAATCCATGGATCATATTTAAATAAGACTAGGTGATGAGAAATAGTAGCCGATTGTTGATATGCACAAGCTGTGTTGATGTTGTATCATTCTCCAAGACGTCATCGCCAATAAGGGACAGTAGTCCCTGCGCACGGTTTATCATGTTAATGTATTCCCTGACACATAAAGAGGGAAGAGTAGGTATTTTACCAACTATCAAATCATCCCAATGCGGGTCAGTCTCCGATATGAGACATGAGGCTGTAAGATTGTGTGCCGTTTTTTCAGTCCCTGGAACACTCCTGGTAAGTATGTATGTCCGGGGAACAATTGCCTAATTGCCTAATCTGATAAACATCACAGGTTGCCTGTTGGAAGTAGGTATATTATGATCTGTCAACGGATGGTGAGTCAATCAGGCTTCTCAGTCTGAATTGTGCTCGTCTTGCAACTGCAACGTGCTCGAATGACCAGAGTACGTGTGTCGTGGTGTATCACTCCTACCAGAGGAACGGATTGACGTTCCGGAGATCCACCTAAGGAATCACGCCATATTTCAACAGAGTGGGGGATTCTCTGACCTCAAAGAATGTCAAGGATCTTGTGTTCCAAGATTACTTTGGGGACCCGAGGATCATTGATGAGTGGGGGATTCATTCCCCCCACGACTATTCGAGAGGCGATCAGGCTGTATCTGTTCTCGATTTCCATCCGGGAAGTGTAGCGACGATACTTTGGCTGCCTGTCCTCTGTGGCTCCGTGGAGTTCGTCCGCACCTTAGAACTCGAGGGATCCAGGGAAAGATGACCGGCTGTACGTTTCCACGACGCATACAGTCCTCGGCAGAAGAGCTGTCTCTAGGAACTCGAATACCTGCGTGGATATTTGCAGACCTCTTGGAGTCGTTTTATACTATAAGCTCCACCCTCAGCTTGATTCCCTCGACATTCACAATGCTCTCCACAAGATTCCTTCCTCTACTTGCCATTCAAACTCTGGTTTCCGCGTCTTACTATCAAGTCAACAATGTCATCGCCCCTTTAACGATCAAAGCCGGAGAAGAATTCTCAGCGACTCTGGTCATTGAGGAGATAAACTATTTCACCTTGCCTCTCAGTGTAAGTAAACTATCAAAAACACCTATTTGATTGTCCGCGCACTTTCTAGACTGTAGTGAGTTACTCCCTGACAAGCAGGTGGCATGGGGTTTATCCGATTCCACCACTCAAAGTGGCTACAACCCTGGAATCCTGCTAGAAGTTGATACTCTCTTGTGCGTAACAGTCGCTTCTCATTTCACGCTCTGTCCAGTCTGACCGTACCTGTTTCTGACCACCTGAAGGAAACATGGGAGAACGTATCATCCTCACTCATCTTTGTATAGCAGCTATCAATACATATGAAAATTACCAGCAATTAACTACCAGTCACAAACTTCACCAAGGAGTTCGAGAGGTCGATTACAACTTGACCGCTCCGACAGAGCTTTTTGGTCCTTACACTTTGATTGCCTTTATCACGTGTGAACAGGATGTAAGTCATGTACATTCTAGTTTCTTGCCTCCCCGGGAGTGGTGTATGCCTCTCGTCAGATAATTCAGGATCATACTCCCGATTGATTGAGTTAGGACGAGGTGGCACGCCGAGACAAAAAACTAATGGCAGTACGAACACCAAGTGACTATCAATCAATTCGCGTGGGATCTCACGATCGAATAGCTCTAATTTTTGTACTATTTGTTCATGATGTGTATGAAGTTCATGCAGCAGTTGATGATTATCCTGGTCCAGAGACACTAATGTAGAAGAGATCCACCTACAAAATCGCGCCATATTTCAACATAGTGGGTAACGGCTTGTGCTCATACGTCTTTGAAGATCACAGACTCCCCGATAGTTTTAGGGACCCGAGGATCATCGGTGATGCTGATCCATTTGAAGCAAACGTTTCCGAGGAATGATGTTCTCACAGAAGATCGAGCAACCCTGGAACTCGGCTGTTACCCGGGACGAGGATTGAGAGTACTTTGACTGCCTATCTCTTGTGATGACCTACCATAGAATCTCACGGATCATTTGCCATACTCGGCAGAAGGAAAGACTGTCTGTCGGGTCCGCCAGTACGAAAAGATCGGGAATAAAACGTACTACTTATTTTAACCCTACTTCACCGCTGGGGTCGTCATATACATAAGTTTGAACACCATATCAATCTTCTTGAACTTTCACAATGCTTTGGACAAAGGTCTTCTCTCTGTTAGCCATTCAAACTCTAGTATTTGCGTCGTACTATCAAGTTGGCAACCTCACCGGCCCTTCAACAATCAAAGCCGGGAAGAAGTTCACCGCTACTCTAATCATTTACGAGGTCTCCTTCTTTGACGTGGATCTTAGCGTAAGTCACGTAACAGTACTTTTCACCTGACTGTCCATGCTATTCCGTCTGATAAATCATTTGTTGATGAGTAGGTAGCATGGGGTCTGGTAGATCCGTCCGCTGAAGATGTCTACAACTTCGGGATCTTACTAGGTGTTGATACTCTCATGTGCGTATTCTTAACTTACTCTCCCTTGTATCCCTCTTCCGGGCCACCTAACCTCTGTACTTATTGAAAAAGTGGGGAATTTGAGTAATACTCCCTACAGTATGATATATAGGAGAGGAGAATGATTGACCAACAGTCATAAACTTTCGGCTGGAGTTCATCAAGTAAACTACACTTTGACAACCCCAACAGAGCTCTTAGGTCCTTACACATTGGCCGCTTACGTTACACGTGAAGCTGGAGTGAGTAAACTTCCCTTTTATACCCCATTACAACTGCCTTCTACTCCTCATGAGCATTCATCTGAGCTTAGACTCACTATGACCGGTTGGAACAAAGAACGAAGTGCGAAGATAGAAATTGATGACAGCTGGACCACGACGTGAGCGTTAACCAATATAATTGGTACTTGACGGTCGAATAGCTATGAGTATGGCACCGTGTCTGGTGATGAGCATGAATGTTATCTTTTGTTACGGTCACCTGATTATAGCAAGAGCTCGGACTGGAGATAGGAAAGCAATGGGCGTGTATGACATTTGGCCTAGCACCTCTCTGTTAAATCTTATGCCTCGGGCAGCTAAAAAGGGACACGAGATTATGACCCCAATCAGGGCCGACCACCACCACCACACCTTTGACTTGTTGGAGAGAGATTATCCCGAGAGTCACCAAGATGGGCCCAAACAACTCGTAAGTTGGCAGTTCCGCGCAGTAAGCCGCAAAGTATGGGGCAACATGTGTAACAGGTGAAATATGAAGCTAAAAGCCAGATTCAGTGGATCAACTGATCGTAACGACCCACGGTGCCATCGGGCTATCCGATACATGTGGAATTCTACAAGCGATGGCGGATTATAAAGCTGTGTAACTCCTCGCTACCTAATTCCTTCAACGTACTGTACCCCTTTACAAAAGCGTCAACACGGACTAACAAGCTCCCCTTCTCTCTTAAACAATCAAACACATAATTTGATATCATACTTCTTCTCAAGATCACTTCAGTGTTGGCAGTCCTCACTAGTGTGTTTGCAACCTACCGTGTGGGCAACCTTACGGCTCCGAGTACTATCCGCCAAGGCCAACAATTCACTGCTACCCTCTACACTGAGGTTATCTCCGGTTACTGGGTAGATCTAAGCGTGAGTGTTGGATACTGATGATCTTGAATATCCATCTATCCACTACCCTATAGAGACAGAGGAAAGCTGACCAGCAGGTTGTATGGGGTCTCGTAGCTCCGGACAACCAGGATGACTTCTCCATCGGGACATTGATCGGTGTCAATGTGTTATAGTCAGTTTTTATATGCCTTCTTTCACATCTCATTCTCTCCTCTTCCACATTGACTCCATGTGTCAGACGTGCTCGTATCACTCATCAATCCCGGACAACACACATAAAATCTTTGCTGGTCTTCGTAGGCGGACCGTTGAAAGCTGTGTCACTGACCAGAAGTCCAACCTTTCCCCATGGGCCGGGCCAGAAGACGTTTCAATTATCCGTTCCCCAAGGTATTCATGGTCCTTACACTCTAAGAGCACTTCTTCCTTATGACAGCGCAGTGAGTAGAGTTCTCCCCCATGCTACACACATTTCACGTAGTCAGAGTACCACCATGGTGATATTCGATGAGGATGGTGTTGACGTTTACAGGAAAACCACGAATTTAGTCTCAACCAGCTCAATTGGGATTTGACCATTTTGTAGGCTTGATTTTTTGTGTGAATAATCTTGTCTACAGGTACAAACTCGAATGAATCACTCATTGAAATGATCATTTGATGTGTCTAAAGAAGAAATCCTTAACGGAACTTTTGATGTTACAAAGTGATGATGATGTGGTCGACCTAAAACTCCTACACGAGGGTAGAAACCGACTGGTGTCAATCTTGAAAGCGCATCATTCACCTGTCTGCCTGCCTTCTATGGACCTGTGGATTTCTTACTATTGGTTTCTACGTGGTGGATGTTCCCTATGCAGAGCACTTGCAGGACTGTTTGTCAGTGGTTGAAGGGACCAATGTTGGCTCAAAATCGCCACAAGGAGGACGTCAAACGTGACAGACTTAGACCCAAGACGTGTCAAAGACACCCGTTAATTTCACGACTATTTTCACGATTGAGATTTTCAATTAAGATGTCAGACCCATGCGGACAGTCGGGCATCAATGTCCGGTTCAATCTCAATATATTACATCTCTCATTCAGGCCCTGCACATCTGTCCAGAGCACCATGCAGCGACTAGAAGGCGATGAGTCAAATCAGACAGCGGAAGCAACACTCAGCACGAGCACTCCAGATCTTCCACACAAACTGACCCCCGTCGGCTTGTTTGATGCTTCCCGTGAGGGAGACTTGTACAAGAAGTTAGCAAGATTGACTACTATTAGAGCAAAATAATTGTTTCCCAACTTGTCTCAACATTCTTTGGTGTGATCACCAAACCTCTTCTCAGTATTAAGTAAGGCAAAATCCGTTAGTTCACGCTTGCATCTGATTATGTTCGCTCTGACGGTCGTTTCCGGGCATTAGGAGATGCGGCCCCACTTTGCTGGGTCTGGATCATTCATGCCATAAAACACACGTTCAAGTTTCTGCATCCGAGTCCTCCATGGTCCCAGGTGCTCATGATGGGAGCAAGTCCACTGCTCCTGAGTTTGATATCTACTTATTACGGGCTATGGGTCACCTTACGGTACCTAGATCCTGATGTCAAGGCCGGATTTCACTATAGCACCAAAATTGTCCTTTCTCCTTTCAAATACCTTGGTATAAAAGAACCTGTAGCCGCTTACTTGTTTAAGTGAATAGTAATCACTCTCAGGTGTCTGGGGTGACACAGGTCTCATTCCTGCGTATGTGAAGGGCAGGGCGACATTGATGTGGCAGTGTGGCACACAGATTTTCAGGTGCCACATCTGCTCGGCTTATCAAAAAATCAGTGGCGCACGGATCTGACGACTGCCTGATGATCAGTCCCTTCGGCCCTCAACCGCCTCGTCATCGCCACATTTCAGTGCGGGTAACTTGATGGAGTATCAAGAAAGATTGAATTTGAAATTTTGGTAGCATGTGCTTCTTTGAGCTACAATCAATGAGTGACATTCATTTTTGCTTCTTTTCTTCCATACCACCGAAAAACGTCAACAAAATATTCATCTCAGTCGACTCAAACATGTTCTCTCGTTGGTTTTGGTCAGCGCTCAGTCTACTGAGCGGTCTCCTCACCATTGTTGAAGCCTATCCAGGAACGATATATGACATCTCAGTTCCCGCGTCGGGTCGACAAGGCTGGTCTATCACGATCGATACGCAATGGGAGGAGTTGTGGCAGCCTTCTGAGACCTTCGGGGTGAGCATTTCCCTCTTTTCACCTTTACTCTCCTTTTGGTGAATTTGACAGTGTGTGACACATACGTGTTATACCCTCATTTGACGAATGAGAGTCGTTGTAAGAGCCTTCCAAATTGATGTGAACTTACTTGTAGATCATCTATGCGTTCAAGAACGAAAGCCTGAGCTGCAAGGACTGCTTAGGAAAAGTATTTGCGTACACTAATCTTGAGTGAGTTGAAACCGAAAATCCATTCTTGACAGGATCCCTTGTCGCTGAAATGTGAAGTCATCCCGGAGCATCTTTTCAACTGCACAGGCAGATCACCATTCAGCTACCCCGGACAATCCCCCCTGGCCAATACGAACTCGAGTTTGCAATCACGTCAGTGAATGCGATAGAGGACGGAGTGAGTCACTCTTTTCACCCCCGTGGCCCTTAGATCTGGGACTTCCTGATTGATCTTTGTCTCCGGAATGTTGCAAACCTATCAAACTCCCCTCTGGTGAAGCACGCGATTCCCTCGTCGATCACAGAACTGTGCAACTTGCTAACAAGAAGGACATCAGTGTTCCAAGTCTCCAAAGACGCTCGACATCGTTTGACTTGCTACCTTACGTCAATCCCGGGGGTCCTATCATGTTTCCTTCCTCCACAACACGTGTAACGGTGCCATCTTCCTAGGGGGAGAGTCCTGATCATAGGTGCCTGTGGGGTGTAGATCAACTGTTTTCAGGTGGAAAAATCGTTACAAGCAGTGGTCGAATATGAATATCAAATGTGTACTTCCTTTTGTAGTATCTTTCATTGCGATGAACGGATTCCGTCAGACATTCAAATACCTGATTGCTCTCAAGGTGGAGGTGATTGTGTAGATACAAATATCTACCCTCATGGACAAGATGTCACTATCATGCCCCGGACACCAAATGAACTTGAATTGGGGAGGAATCCGGTACTAGAAGCTGTCCCGCAGGTAACATCGGGTGACCTCGTGAACACGCAATATCTCGGAGAAGTCATGCGGACAAAGTGATCAAATTTCGCTTATCAGGGCATTATTCACTCCTTTGCACCATCAGAGGATTTACGTAGCACATTGGCAACACTGGAAATCTGTCACGTTGAAATGTGTCTGCCGCTTTTGCTGGCTGAAATTTCATGACAATCTGTCCCGTCCCTCGGGGGATCTGTACTTGTAAAGAGGTGAGTTAGATCGATAACAGACTATCTCAAATACACACACTTCATCTCCTGCACATGTGCACGCTGGAGCGCAAGAGCAGAGACCCCTTCTGTTGGGTAGCTGGTCGAAAATTGAAGGGATTATGACTACATACCTGTACTCCTTTAATCCTGAAATTGGCGCCAATACCGGCTACAAGCCGTGACGTGCTCCCAAATCTGGGTGGATAGGAATTAGATTCCCTGAGCACTCGGTTGATGGTCTGATGATCGACCTTCCAGCTTCCCACGATACGTATGTTACGGTAACGTACTTGATATTGTTGCAAATTCGTACAAGCTAGATCGTGGAGGATCGACAAACTCTCAACATGCCTCGTCCAATCTCTCACTTTAGCCTATTCTTGCTGATCTCTGAGATGCTCCTGTGAAAAAAATCCCGAGGCTTACGTACTCGTCGCTGGGGGAGAGGGATCGGGTCATGAATGGCGCCATTCCGTCCCATATGTTCACCTGAATCACAGAGATGTCCGGTTCTGTCTAACATCATAAAACCTCAAGGAATGGCGGCAGATATCTCATTCCTCACCCAAATTCCCCCTTACATTCCGCTTAGTGATCGAAACCATTAGCTGGCTCGGCTCCTGAAGAACTTTATCCAAAATGCTCTTCTTTTCTTTGACCTGGCTCTTTATTCCAGCTTTCTTGCTCACTTTGAAACCGGTACTGGCCGTTCCCGGTCTAGTCACTGGTTTTACGACGCCCGCCATTGCAGTAGAAGGCACACCGTTCACTGCCACGGTCTCATATCAGGGGAGTCCTGTTGCGGCCCACACCTTTGCAGTGAGTATCTTCAAATTGCAATATTAGCTTGACATGATGGCAAGAGGTGACATTCCAGATTGCATGGGTTATTACCGACCAGATTATCGCCCATGGCAAAGTAGTCGGTGATCTTATTGCTTATAGCGATCTACAGTGAGTCCCAGTTTTGAAATCACTTGACGCCTATTCTTTGGCCCGGCGCAAGAGTTCTGAGGGGTGTAGAAGTATGAATTCCACTAAGATATAGTGCTCTTGACAACTACCAACCCAAACAAGGTTTTGAACTCACCATCGAGCGTAATGTTCCCGCCGGTAAAACAGTCCTCGTTGCCGCCGTATTTTCTCAAGTTGTGAGTCCCGGCCTTCTGAGTGCTGCAGTCACTCTCCATATCATCATTGTTGTTGCTTCCGCAGGTGGAACAAGCCAACTTACTGAGTCACAGCTGAATGGTCCAATCCTAGTCGAGGAATTCTACCAAAACTTGACTGTTGTCAGGACAGGACCAATTAAGCCCTCGAGTGCTTAAAATCGCTCAGAATCGCAAATACCGCTGGTGGAGAGGGCGCGAGGAATGAATCAGGCCAGAAAATCGATATTCACAAACAGTTTCGGAGACTCTCAAATATCTACTTACTGTTCAAATTCACGCTTGTACGCAGGAAGAAAATGCACACATTTGACCCTCATATTTCTCTTGTTTGAGTTAACAAAATCATTTGTGGGCCAAATTTGGTTTGCAGTCATCCTGTATGGTTCTCAGACTGTACATGCCGAAAAATAGACCTTTCTAGATCAAATTACGTCCGAGAACCCTCTTCCCATTCATTTCACATTTCCGTAAAAATGAGGAATTTCATGCGCTTTCGATCATATGACCCGGCTCCACCAAGTCATGCCGAGTGATCGAGAAACGCCTGCTTCTCCTTATGATCCGTAAGCCACGACACCGGCGGCGCCGGGACAAGCTCGCTTCGAGACAGCTTGTATTGCGGACGTGATGAAATTGCAGAGCCGCAAGTAAGAAAGATCGGCGGCTTCGGTTGCGGCTTTCGCTCCGATAGCTACCTATATTTCGAATGTCCGCAACCTAACCGGCCATTGGTCAACACTGTTTCTGATCCGCACTCGATCATGCCTGGCGGATAGTGGATAGCCATTCCCGGTCCAATGAGCTTCTCAATTCTACAAATTTGTGACGTGAGCCAGGCAAGTTGCGCGACCGAGACTCGGATACCATGTGTGCACCCACTTGATGGTGGCTTGATATGGTCTCTCACCTAGGTGTTCCCTGGAGAGATCTGCCATTTACAAAATCCCATGGCCGGTCAAGCGTTCGTACCAGGCGGAGGGGCTATCGTCGTGCGGCGGTCGTGCGGCGCTTGTGTTGTCAATACATTGTTTCCCACATGAGATGGTTTGCTTGACTCTCGTGTATGAATAAACTATAAAGGACACAAAGCTGGGTCCCAAAAGATATTCCATTCCTCCTTCCAACTCACATTCAAGTACTCTCTACCTCATCAATCTAGCAAGAATTCATAACATGCGCTTCATCTCTCCAAGCTGCCTAGTTGCTGGTTTCCTTGGTACTCTCATCCGTTCCGTTCTTGCGGTTCCTGGTGTGGTTCAAGGTATCAACGTCCCGCCTCACACCATTGTGGGCCAAGACTTCGTTGCCCATGTCCTATTTCAACATGGTCCAGCAAATTCTCAGACGTCAGAGGTGAGTTCCCCAACTTATTCTTTCCTGTATGACCATAGAACACTGATACCGTTCCGTCCACACAATCGTAAAAGCCATCTGTTAACGTTTAGATAATCTGGGCAATAAGCAACGGCGGGACAACTTCAGGGATCCAGTTGGGAGATATCGTCGGCCGTACCTACTTCCAGTCAGTCTTCATTCTTTTCGTCCGGTTTGCCACAAGGAGACATACGCTTTAGAGCACCCCTTGTTGAGACACCTCGCTGAACATGTAGGGATGGAGGCTCGTTCCAGCATAGCCGTGAAGTCTTGCTCAAGGTACCTTATGGAGTCCCCACCGGGGCCTCACAGCTGGTAGCAGCCGTCTTCTACACTGACGGGGTGAGTTCCCTCTCTACCTGCTCTTCACGCCCACTCCGTCTTCTCCGGTCACACACATCATTCATCCCATTCTCACGTTTGTAGAACGAAGGATACTGATATGGTAGTACGACTATCCTCCAGTGGTTCATTTCGGTCAAGTGTATGACAATACAACTCTCACCACGTAAGCCTGTCTGCTGCCTGATGGCTGACCTCGAGTCGGGCTTAAGATCAGGAAGTTGATGGGACTGGTATATCAAGCTTGAGGAATGGCCCAGGAAGAGTGCACTGATATTATTTGACCTCAATACGTAGTGTATAAGATCCGCATGTAAAGACATTGATTCATCTTATCGGGCCGATGTCGCTTGTTCGTCTTCCGCGCGAATAGTGGCAAATCGCTTCGGTACTGCATAGCCAATTTCATAGCTTTCGTATGTGATGAACCTCATACTGTTCGACCAAGTATGATGATTCATCGGCAATAAAACTGTACTGACAAGAAAACTACTTTATGTACGATAGGATCTACGAAGGGAAGGTGTGGGAAAAGATTTGGCGAAGTAATTCCTCACCTCCGGCGTCTAATTGGTGCTGGGGGGTGTGGGCGTCGAAGCCACGGTGGAAGTGGCGCTCGTAATTGGACCGTCCACAATCAAAGGGTGAGTGTAATAGCGCATGTCGACTAACCCCTCGGGCTGACATTAGCATCAATTCTCAAATGATGCAGGGCAGCGGAAGTGGACGTAAACGGAGACGACAACTCACGAATTCATCATCTAGAACCGCGGCTGTGAGGGTGTAGTTTCCTCTCGGGGTATCAGAGGGAATCGGCAAGTCGAAGATGCGTGAAGCTACAAAGTCTCCTTGTATGGCGCTGCATATTGGTGATCACAAACAGGCGTCTTGAGATGCACAAAACTCACAATAGGTCGGTAAACGTGAGTCGCCGTCCCACGCATTGGGTGCATCCTTCGTCAGGGGATACCAGACCCCAGATAATCTGAACGTCAGCACCGAAAGCAGAAACCACTCACCTGCCAGGTTATATTCCTGAGGAATGCGATGACATCTCAGGTATGGGAAGGGAGTCAAAGGTGGAGGGGGGAAACAAAAACCTACCCCATAGTCATTCTGCTCCGTAAATCGAATCTGGGTGAAGTTGACCACAGTAGGTAAATTACTTCCAACGATGACGACACTGGGACCGTTGATAGATTCAACATTACCCATAACAGCACTCGCTATGTTGGCAAAGCCCAGAAGGATGGCACAGGCTGACAGGATAGAACGGACAGACATGGTCAATGTGGATGGGTGGATGAGTTGATACTGAAGATGTTGAAGTAGAAGGTGAGGAGGGAGAGAGAGATCTCGGTGAATTTATAAGTGCTCGAATCTCAATTTTAATCTTATCCCTGTGGATTCGACTTGTCCGTATGACCGCCGTCCCGAAGGGACCTTTGGAACCGTGCGTGATGAGGGGACTCGGGTAGCCTGGGCGCCGCACCTATGTACATCAGAAGCTTTCGCCCCGGCATGGAAGACAGGTGATCGAACGACTTCTTGTATGACAGAATTTGAAAGCATTCTTTCTTCTTCTTTCACCATATTCTTGAAGGGGTAAAATGTGGTTGAAGGAAGGGCTAAACTTACATGCGGTCTTACGGGCACAGGCACATATGTAATAATCTCCGGACTTTTATCTTCTCAAGCCCGGGATTCTTTCCGAGTAACGACTCGCACGGTTCTTGCCGTAAAAGATATAGATGATAAATACTTCGAGTCTTCAAATGCTACTCGATGGGGTGGTGTTAATGGTATGAAGGTTTCATCGCCTTCGGATGAGAGTTCAACCGAAATGGATTTGTTATACTACCTTTGAACCAAAACAAGATCATTGCATCGCCTTGTGAACCTACACACTGTTCCACGCTTCACCTATCCAACTTGCCCTGGTCACCTGAAACCATCCCATCTGGGATCTTGAGGCTCACCACTTTGATCTACTCCTGAAGTTTGCCATGAAGCACCGGATCAGTTCAGGTAGCTGCGGGCTTTGACGTGCTGGAGAGAGAAGAGGAAGTAGGGAAAGGCTCAAATGTAAGGGGCGGAATCGGGGTGAAGTGTTTAGTCGAGGAGGTAGAAGAGGTTGGGAAAGGTTCAACTGTGATGGGTGGTATGGGAGTGACTCGATGGGTCGAGGAGATATAGGTGGGAGGACCAACTCGACGAGAAATGAGGACGGTCTGATAGTAGAATCGCTGGTTGACATATCCCTCAGGCTGTTATCAGCCCAAAATCACTGATCAGGAGCGTTTATGAATGAGGAACGAAAAGGAACGGATGATTAAGTGGACGATTCAAAACTCACGAAACCATCCCCTGTCACGGCCCCGGTCAATGTGTAGTTTCCTCCCACATCTCCTGGAATCTGTAAGGTTATAGCACGCTGGGCTTCGTATGAGCCACTTATAGCACTAACCGTCAATCGCGGAATGTATGGGAGATGGCGGGAGACATGACTTACTAGAGATCTGTGAATCCCAAACGTATGCCAACACACTCGGTACAGCCGTAAGTCGGAGGAACCAATCCCCAGATGATCTAGCTATCAGTGTCGAATGACTGTTGAATGCAAGTTAAGACTGACTCCATAGTCGTTCTCGATCGAATACCGGATATTGGTGAAGTCAATCGTGACTGTGACGGTCGAACTGCTGCGATATTGACCGGTGACGTGAACCCAGTAACGATCCCGTCCACAGCGAGTGCGGACCTTGACAAGAAGGCAATTATCGAGAGGAAGAGTAGAGCGAATGTGAACATGTTTCTTTGAAATGACTGTAAGTGCAGAGTGCAGCGGGGGAAGAGAAGATCCCATCCGGCTATGATATAGTTGTACATCCCCAATTTTGTGGGTCATCAGATCAGTACGGCCTTCGGATCCCAGATCAATTCGGATCCGCACGTCTGTCCCTCTTGATGTCGGTCAGGGACGAGCTCGACCTTGACTACGATCACTGCACTCTTTGGGAAGTCAATCACTGACTAAGGATACCAAATCCAGAGGGACAGGAGTAAGAGTGATCTTCTAACTCGCCTGAGGGCATGAAAGATGTCAAAAGTCGCACTCCAGTTGGAATGGCATCATCCGTACAGCCCCGCACGGAATGGTGTGATCGGTGATCCCACTGATGCATACTGATGTACAGTATACTAAATTACACACCATGTCGTCCAATCTTCCCTGAACATACGAGCACTAGTACTCGTACTCCTCGACATCTTGAGCAAAAATCCTCGAATTTCAGGCGCTTGGAGCAACCGACAGGGATTCTGTCTGAGTTGGTGAGACAGGATGGAAAGAATGAGGGAAAGTAGGATGAATAGGTCCGATGGGTCCTATCGTACGTGCCACTTGTACTTTTTGGGTGTAGTAACCAATCTCGATGATACCGTCGTCCTGATGTCAGCCAACGCATTCGTAGATTGATCCTTTTTGCCACAATTTTCGAATGGACAGATAGAGCACAGATCAAACAGGAAATATTGATATGACCAGGATGAAAGTCACGACCCACCGTGACGGCCCTAGTAACAGCTGCTACAAGGGTGAAGTTCCCTCCGCCAAATAATGGTCCCCCAAAGGCTCCGAAGAACTCTAGACTGAATTCCAATTGTGGTTGATAAGCTCCTGTATTGGCGCTGTTCCGTCAGCTCTTTTCCGCATCTCTTCTCCTCATCGTGCACTCACTTCAAATCCGTAAACTGAAATGCCCTCCCAACACAGTCTGTACAATACTCATCTTCACTTCGGAGTCCCCAAACAATCTGTAGGATATAAGCACTTCTGGTACCTTCCAGATCTCTCCTGTCCCCCAGTACGGTTGAGTGCAGATGCCGTGCACGTGGCCGGTTCCACTCAAGAGGATGGTGCGAAGATGGAAAGTGTTGTACTCACACCGTAGTCAGTTTGAGGGGCAAAAGTTTCGTCGGTAAAATCGACCGTCACCTTGAAGGGAGTAGCGGCACGAAGATTTTTAGGAGCTTTAAAGCCGGTCACTACACCTGAGTAAGCAGAGACGTGGTACACGACGAAGGCCAAGGTGGTCAAGAGTTGGAAAAGAGATATCATAGCTGAGTCGAGTTGTGTGTGGTTTCGACCGAAGGTTTACAATGGATCAAGAAAGTGCTAGTCAAAGAGCGAGGGATTCTGGTTTCTCTTACCTCTTTTATGGACAGACATTATCACATGCTGATTTAACATGCAAGTTGCATCAGAGGTTTACGGACGTGCGGAATAAGGGTGAACCATGCGGTCCGAACTTTTAGTGAGGAATCCATCTTTGCCGGTGATCCGCATAATCAGATGGGACTTGATGCCATGGAGTCGCTCGTTCCTTGGCGACGAATGATGATCGTTGATCGATCTCAAGGTATGCGTTAAGTTATCCTATTTGTCTTGATGAGGATCATCTTGACGAATTTTCAATCCCTATCCGCTTTTTTCACATCTGGCAATGAGTTCAACTGACGAGAAGGGATTGATCCACCTTCTTCACGGGATCGCCCTCCCCACACTTCGTTTACGTTTGATTCTCATCTGCTAAGTCTGGGCAATGATCAACCCCCATGTCTCACCTCCATGAAGACTCACGATCAAGGGTACATCACCTTTCCCAACGGGACCGGAAGACTTTCAACGTTTTCATTCCACCAAACCAACTAGACTCTCTCACAAAGTCTTGGCTTCCAAGGACAGCTCTCAGTGATTTCTATCATGCGCCTAGTCCACTCGCTTTCCCTAGTTGTTGTCACTTTCATTTCACTTGTCTATGGTTTTCCGGGAAGAGTGTACAAGATCGACCTCCCGAGTAGGATACCGCAAGGTGGGACGTTCTCCGTCACTGTGTACTTCTCTGGGTATCCAGTCACTTTTGTGGATCTTGGGGTGAGTTTGTATTCTTAAACTCCCCTTAGTGCTCTCACTCAATCGTCATATCTACATTCACTTATAAAGAGGGGGACCGTCTGTCTTGAAGGAACTGACTGACAGATTGTCTGGGGATTGAGGGAGAAGGATATCGTTTGTGATAACTGCGTTGGAGAACAAATTGGGTATACAAATCTCGAGTACGTGCTTAAGTTTCGCAACAGTTAGAGAATATGAAGGTGTCTGACTCGTTAGTGTCCCGGGGTCAACATTCAAGGCCTCACGAACATTTGTAGTTAGCGTCCCGGATTATTACCAAGGAGATTATACGCTGGTGGCGCTGATACCCTTCATAGTCGGGGTGAGTGATTTTGTCGAGATTAGTACCTTCATCTGGTGCCTCCGAGGTTAGTTGTCACTGGGTACAGAGCTTGGCTCCGTTTGATCCAATTAGCCAGGTAATTGTGAGGAGATAAAGCTGATCTGGCGTAGATTGAAGGCGCAGGAAACTTCCAAACGTTCACTCAGAATTGCACGGTCTCAAGATTCCCACCCCACATCAAACCCCCTACAATTTCTTACGTTGGACAACCTACCGGTCCGATCACTTCTGGCACCCCTTTAACGGGTTCTGCCAGTCCTACAATCCCACCGGTTCGACAGACCGGTAGCCCCATTGTTTCTCTATCCCGGCATACCACCACTCAGGCCACACTTGATAAGTAAACGTAGGAAACGTCTTGGTTGTACCACAGATTCCACAACGCATACTCATCTGGATATGGTAAGAAGTAATTGGATGAGGGAGAAAGGTTTTGCATGTGACATGACCGGATGCATTGTATGAGATTGTCAACGGCTTTCTCGCGTGCTTGACATTGGACAATCATGTGGCGCAACGTTCGAAAGTCAGTCCTCCTCTAACCGAGCTTGAGGCTGATTTCTTGGCGAACCACCCATTTAGACCCGGCTTCCCTTGTGTATATCACTCATCTTCTCATACGCAACAAAAACTCACCTCTTGAAAGTCGGTAAGATGCTACCGCTTCAATATCTTCTGTTTCTCGTCAGCACATTAGGCTTTGTAGTCGGAAACGTTGGTAGAATATACTCTATCCAAGCTCCCTCAATCTTACATCCGGGTAAATCGTTTGAAGTGAAAGTCTTCTTCACCAAGTTTGATGATCACTTTCAGGAATTGGGTGTAAGTCAGTCTCTCCTTCCTTTCCTCGTTCATCACCGTCCTGATAACAATATCGAGTTGGAATAAAGGGGGGGGGGGGGGGGGGGGGAGGTGCAGAGGGGTAGAGGGGTTCAATGTACAGGCAAAAGGTGAGTCGCATTACTGATGACGAGTTACTTTTCGGCCTCAAGAACTCGAGTATAGTCTGTACAAGTTGTGTAGGAGAACCTATCGGGTATTTCAATCTCTAGTAAGTTTCATTTCAGGAAAAAAACGCTTGCACTTATACAACAGTCGCCCTGGTGAATCTTTCAAAGATATCAGAAAGTATTCATTGAGAGTCCCATCAGATGTTGAGGGAGACTATACATTAGTAGCTTCGTTCGCATCTGTCGAAGGGGTGAGTCCCTTTTTTCATGCCGATCACAAGCGTTACTAGTCACGTCAAAGATCTTATGTAGAGAGATAATATCGCTCATATTCAGGTGGAAGCTCAAACGTTGGTCCAGTACATAGAGCAGGATGTTCATATCATACGTTGAAATATGGACTGTCGTTTTGGAGAGACGTTCATGCAGATGCATATCCCATCGTTTTTTTTGCAGGTACCATCTTCAATATCGGCTCTAGACTCTGATGATGAGGACCCCTGGGCGCGAATGCCAAGTCGGTACGGTACCCTCCGATCAGGGTGGTGAATCAGTATACCGCCCATCTGTTTCATTCCTACGCCCCGAACCTGACATTCGACCGAGAGAATCCAGTTCGACCACAATAATCCATCTCGCCCTTCAACTTCACTTCTCCGACTACACACAATACCATGAAGAATCCTACATTTACTTTACCCGTCATTGTAGCCTTACTCACATATGTTACTGGGTACCCGGGAATCATCACACAAGTTGAACTTCCCGACGTTCTCGTCGCCGGGGATAAGATAGATATTACTATTCACTACGTTCCTGTTTCGGATAGTTATGAAGATCTCGGTGTGAGTGTTCTGATCATCCTATGTACCAAACCCCTCAAACTCCATACATTAGGAATAGCAGTGCGAGAAACAGGACAGGGGAGATGAAGGGATATCAGGTTGACAAATAGATTGTATGGGGTTTAAAACCTCAAGAATTGGATTGCGGACCATATTGTACTGGAGAAGTATTGGGTTACTCAGATCTATAGTGAGTTGAGGATCACCTTCTAGTTCAGAAGTCAAGTTCAGCAGATGGAAGTAAGAATCTAAAATGTAGTGGTCCGGACGATTCATTCCATCAAGACTATACGGTCAACGTACATCTTCCACGTTCTTTTCAAGGGGAATACACATTGATTTCTTCCATTTTCTATCGTGAAGGGGTGAGTTGTCTTCTCTTCCACATCTCATGAGTCTTCTTATCATGTTCTAATCATCTCCATGTCTCTTTCTTCCTTCATAGATTACTCTCCGTAGGTGATGTAGAGTATTTCCCACTTTACTTGGACAGGAAAAAGACCCGTTTCCCCGACTAGTGCTCATTTCAGTCCGATAGCACCACTGGATTCCGAGCTCTATACAAGAACGTGACTATCGTCCCACCACCTCCCCACCCCCATCCGGACAAGGCATCAGGGTATCGTCGTGCCCGAGGTATAGCAACTGTGGCTGGTATTGCGGAAACTCATAAGAGGGCGATAGCCATCATTCACAAAACGTCTGTGAAGAGTGGGGCAAAGGAGACTGGGGCGTGATGGTAGTTTTAATATTTTTCCGTATCAAAGGCGTTCTCGTACTCGCTGGTAGGGTATGTGCAATATATTGCCGTATGTGCCACATTGCCACATTGCCACATTGCATTTGCACAAGGTATGGGGGCTCCGCGTGTCGGCCCGAGCTTGGATCCCGTATGACGCAATACGCTTCCGCTTCTTCACCAATCCATTGGAAGGACCATATTCACCCGACCATCCATTCAGTCGTTTACTTAGTTGTACGGCAAGGTGGGTGTGGAGTAACTAACTTACTTTGGTAAGAACGGGATAGTGGTGCGGATCTACTTTACTGATGCAACATGCGGGCCTATGCAACGAAGGAAGGCCGAAGGAAGATGACGATTTCTAACTTTAGAAGCTTTTTGATGGTGGCGATGCCTGATGACTTCGTTACCTCGTCACCTCGTTTTTTTTCTTACTACTTACATAGGTACATATATATATTCATCAATCCATCTTCTTCCCCCTCTACACTCTCAACTTTCATCTTCTCACTTTACATCTCTCATACATAAATTAAGAATAGATAATCAATAATGCTCGTCTTAGCTCTTCTTACTTTACTCAGTTGTCTCAATCCTATTTTTGGTAAAATAGCTAGTATATCAGCTCCGAGCATCATACCGGCCGGAAAGAACTTTACTGTGGTTATACATACTACTAGTTATATTCAAAATTGGGATGATTTCGGTGTGAGTTATCAATCATTTAATCGTTTTTCTCTTCTTCTCCCTTATTCAAACCGCTTAAATCGCTCCATACATACACCTTCACTATTACCTTTCAAAGCTCCCTCTTCATAAAGCAAGATTATCAGAGCTCAGTACTTTCACATGTCACATGTAGTGGGTAAAAGTATTCGTACTGGTATAATCAATGTGTGTACGTGGGGAAGTGGTGCTTGGCGCTATATTACAATGAACGATATCAATCGCGGCTGACTCTCAAGATCATCTTCGGACTTAAATCTCCTAACCTCACTTCGGACCCCATTGCCGTAGGTGATGAAATTGGATATTCCAACTTGTAGTGAGTGCTTTTGGCTGTTTTGTCACCTACCTTATCGTCATGCCTCATGCTCTTATATCCATAACATCATCTCTCTTACCTATGTGTCAACTACAATCGAACAACCCTTGAGGGAGAGATCCTACCATTCGAGAGTTCAAATATGCTGGAAGATTTTGAGTAGGACACCCCCGTTGGGAAAGCAGAGGACCGCCTCAACAACCCACTTATGATCTTGAAGATGGTGACGACATGCTGACGAAAAAGTGGTGTGGAGAAACTCCCAAATGTCACCGTATCCGTTTCATGTCCTATCTGGGCCAGTGGGAAATACACTCTTGTCGGTGCTGTTCCATATCTAGTCGGGGTGAGTCAATCCATCCATTTCCCTTTATCCATCCGCCTCAAGGTAAAAACAACGCAATGGCTAATTGATAGGCTTCCGGTGAGACTGGTATCCAATACTTTAATCAATCAATTTCTGTGACACCCACACCAGCCAAATGAACCACGCTCCAGTCCCGAACTAGATGAAGAATGAAGGACATTGAAACCCCGTATAATCAATTCTCTACCCTATTGTAGCATAGATACATATGTATAATCCGAGAGGTGCATGTAATCAATAATTTCACATGAATACAATATCTAATCTTACATTCGTTTAGTCTAAATATAACTTTCCCATATTTGCATAACAAAGATCGCCCCTTTCAGAAATCCACCAAACCTTCCCTGTTCGTACCATACACTTTGCTGGTTGGCTCCTTCCTCCTCTGAACCCCGATTATATTTTGGATATATGGAGGGTGGTCTATCATGCGTCGGAAAGTTGCGGAAAGGTGAACACATTAAAGTGATTACTTCCCCTTCATTGCATCGAAGATCACCTCAAGCTGTGGATGTGTAATGTATGAAGCTTTTGTTTTCGTACCCGTATTTGACCGGTTTGACGTGGTGGGAGAAGGGTCTTTCGGTTCATTTGCCGCTTGATTCGATTTGCCTGATGCCAATAATTCTTCAACCACCGTAGTCCCAGAAACAGCGGCGAAATAAGGTGCGCAAGATATGTTGTTCGAAGCTATCGAAGCACTTCGACTACCGCTACCGCTACCACTGCCTTGGCCGGAACTACTGGTCGTTGAAAGACCTGGGGGAGGGGCGTTGGGAGAATCATTTTCTGATGCGGAAGTACGATGCGTGGGATTGAGAGAGTCGGGAGTGGAAATGAAGGGTGATGTACCGGTGTTACCACTAGGGAGACGCCAATAGCCACGTTTAACATTGAGAGCGTTGAGTATGCATACGCCGAGGTTTGCGTCACGATGTAGTTCAGGTCTACTCGTTAGTTGTGGTCTATAATTCGCTAGACAGTAGCATTCCACTCCAAGTTAAATTAGGTCATGTACTCCACTCAGCGCAGGAGAGAGAAACTCGAACATATAATAGACAGGAGAAATTTAGGATGAAGATTGTGGGACTAGACTTACGCTCCTGGTCGAGGATGCTCGGGATAATGAGCAGACAACTTTTCCAAAGTCGGATGAGTCGCCCTGTCCAAGAAATACTCGATAAGTTGAGAATGATGATGACCGATTTTGAATTTGAGGCCAAATTGTTGCAAAGCCATTCTGCCGATCAGCGTCCAGACCACTTTCACTCCATGTGTAAACGCAAAAAAGAAGTTCAATAGGAACACGGGATAGTGGGCGACAACACTCACCGAACCATTTCGATATCCATCCTATGACTATCCGCAGTTTGCGCATCACCAATGTTCAAGGCATATCTATAAAACAACAAGCTCGTTCTTGCCGCTGTGACCAAACACACGCTGGCTGACGAATGCATGATACTCGCCAAACTCTGTGAACCGTCGTTGGTCACGCCCGCCAATTGTTGAACGATCTGTACCAGTGCTTGAGTTGCAGCGATCATTCGGCGAGTAGAAGCGTCATTGGGGTCGGTGATATCGGCAAAAGGTTCGTGTAGACAGATAGATGCTGCGTGAGGAAGCATGTGTGCGGACTAGGTATCAGCGGATGTCTATCTACATTCCCGGAACAGCAGCTTGGGAAGAGGGATCTGAGGTTCTATGAATATCTACGCAGGAGGTAGGACTGCATTTCACAGGTGGCAGAGGGGATGAAGGGTGAGAAGAGGAGGGGAAGGGGAACGAAGAGTGAGTTGAAGAAGAAAGAGAATGACCAACAATCAAATCAATATCAAGTTTCTTCTTGTGATTCAACTTGCAAGGGTTCCTCAAAGCCTGAGGAAAACTCATTTGGAAACATGCAATAGCATTTGCCAATTCCCTAAATTCAGGTTTCTGTAACCCATCCAAATCGTCATCATCTCTGATTCTTCTGTTCTTCCACTTGCGCACAAAACGATTGACTCGGTTCAGGATGACAGCAGCTTTAAGGGTCAGAACAAATGGATCTGGGACAGGATGTTTAGTCCATATATCGAGACTTTCTATATCTTGAGGATTCGGCTCCATGTATTCTTGACCAGCTTCGAAATCTATCACAGAGACGGGTAATGGGACTGATAGTTCGTCGAGAGAGATAGAAGTCCCCCATCCAGAAGCGGAAGAAGCTATAGTATCGTGATAAAATGCCATCCAAATGGCCGCTCGACGTTCTTCTCTTTCTAATGCATCGCCAGGTGGAGGGAGCATGACTGATTTTAGGGATAATTCGGCTGAACGGACGTTCAGACCAAGAGGAAGGATCATACGTGCCACAAGACCACAGTACGCCCAACACTCTAACATACGAGTGTCGTCGATGAAGACTCTGCTGAGTATGATCTGGAAATGAGTTCTCTTCCCTCGTACTCGTAAAACCGGATTTCACATGAAAAGGCTGACATCCTATGTTCAAATGTTAGCAAGCATGAAGTGAGGAGGGCGAGCATGATGATAGGTGTTGAATCACAACTCACCATAGCCCGCACCACATCAAACAATCTGTTACCTGTGTTCAAACCATCTTGTACGGCCTCTTTGGCAAATGCAGCTTGTCGCATTTGAAAGCTCATACCAGCTCTCCCACCTCCCTTTTCAGTTCCGGCCATCCACGTACTATCCTGAACATAGCTGCTTCTCTCATATACGCTCGGGGTGCACCACGCGGCTGATGCGGCACATATCGCATGTATGAGTGCAGCATGAGGAAAATTACTGTGTGTCGGTGGGAGAGCTAGTCGAGCTAAGAACCTCGATCGATGTAGTAAACGAGAAACGTTAGGTGCTAATTCGAAAAAGGCTTCCACCCTGTTCATCAGTACTGAATTTGCATCCAATGAGATCATGAGAAGACATACAGATCATTGACAATATTTGGTTCAGGCAGATTAGGTGGCCAACCTGGCCAGAAGAGTTCCAAAAGGAGTTGTTGTTGCACGGCCTCATCTAAAGGTGGGAGATCATCCACATTCGTATTTATGCCCATTCCACTTTGTCCTTCAACAAAAGTGGCTTTCATACTTGCCGCAAAGATCGTTTCGACAGTCTCGACACCCCGCCACGGACCTTCTACACGAGTGGAAGGTTGAATATTGCCGTTCGCATCGGGTGGAGGTGGCCAATTCAAATTTTCACCAGAGTGTGGTTCGTTCGTATTATGAGCGGGTTGTCCGGACGAGCCAGACGCAACAGGACCAGATGGGACTGGTGAGAAAGTGAATATAGCATTAGGCGACAAGTCCGCACCGCTGGGAGAATTTCGGGTCCCCTGTCGAGACGTAGATGGAGGTGACATTGCGCCAGAAGCTCCATGTGTAGAATCACGATGTGATGGAAGTCTCGGAGAGTCTGAAGGAAAAAGAGGTGTAAATCCAGAATGCTCTTTCAAGCCGGTACTGTCGACAGGAGTATCGCCCCAAGTATGAGCGGCTCCCATCATTGTGTCGTTAGCTGCACCATGTCGTAGACCAGCAGGACCCATGGCTTGATGTACTTGAGCACTAGCGGCGGACGATAGCATTTCAAGAAAGGCAGTTGGGGAAGGTGCCGCCAGGTCGGGCATTGACGAGGCGCCCCACGCACGAGAACTATCGTTGGGTGAATGTTCTTTTGCTTTGACTTGTGCTTCGAGTTCGGCTGGCGGTCAGCATCGGCGCGGTAAAAAAATGAGCGAAGGTTGTGATACAACACAGAGAAAAGGACAAGAAGCGGGAATGGGAGAGACGGTCAGGGAGAAGACATCTGACCGGATGATAGGTCATGAAGGAGGCAAGAGTAGTATTGTTCAAGCAAGATTTGTTGTATAGAGGATGGATGTAGGGGTAAAATGACGGAATACATCGTGATTAGAAGAGGCAGTTGAGATAAACGTACCTATCCGCAACATCAAAGCCTCCCTCTCCAACTCCGTCCCATCTTTACTAACATCCCTTTCCCTACTCTCTCTTCCCCTCATAACCGGCCTCTTCTTCCTCTTCCTACCTTCAATATTCCCATCATCTTCATCTTCCGTCTCAGGCGAATGACTGGTACTTCCCACACGTTCGACCGAACCGGTTGAAGCTGGAGCGGCACTGGGTCCATCGTCATATTCGCAACATAAGACAGGGTTCGTTTTTGGGTTTGTACGTAGTAAATGTTTATATGATCTTACGCATGTCGAACAATTGGGTCTAGCCGCGTCGCATTTCTGTACATCAGCATTTCGTTCTCACCCCTCACATCTTCGTTCAAAATGATTTGAAAAAATCAAAACTTTGGAGACAATCCTACGCGCACGTTGTATGATGCGAGGATCTATTTGTTTGGATTGTCCAGAGTTTCTTTATGTATCTAGCATCCACAACTCATCACCCTTCGTCATGAAGATAATCCAAGGACACTCCGATAGCAACAATGATATCTCAGATGTCTGGGTGGTATGCAAAGGAGGGAAAGCAAAAGAAGAAACCTCCACACATACTTTCGCCACATGCGTAAGCGTCACCCAAAATCGGCACGACCCTCCAACGTGCTCAACAACGTCCAGTATCCTTTCAAAACCCATAGCAGATGCACGGAGACCATGTACATCCATCCAACTTAGAGTAAACCACACAGAATAAATCAAGACAACTCATCATCTTCTGATGATACCGTTTGAGCAGAAGGAACCGATGAGGAGGAAATGAAAACGTACCAATTTTCTTCGTCTACAATTTAAACAAGCCTGATTCCTTCTCAAAACCCCAGCTATATCAATCCTCTCACCCTCTACACGTCCAGATTGATTGGAAGTACCAGATGATAACATATTGGTAGATGTCTCCACGTAGATGATCCCCTGTGGGTTGGGTGGATGGGGGATATCGATTGGACCTAAGTTTTGAGTGTGTGGCACGGGTCCTTTTTTCATCCTTGATAGGCTTGCTCTTCTTGATCTAGTTCTATTTGATTCGAATGTATCGAATGGGATGAGGATGGGGGAGGGTGATCGGGAGAGGAGAAGATATATGAGGAGGGAGGTAAAACAAATGAAGGTATGTAGGGGGGAGGTGACTAGGTGGATAGGCGGAGGAGGAGTGAGAGGTTGGAGTCGAGTGGCGGCTGCAGAGCGAGAAGGGCGGGGTCGGCCATCTTAGACCGAGGGCGAAAGGGGAAAAAGGAAGTGTCAATTTTCCGTTTAGCGCGGAAAAGGGACGATTACTTCCGCTTTTGGGTTTATTCCATTGAGTCCAGTTGGCCAGTTGGCAGTCACTCGACATGCACCCTGCACCATTCCAGTGTCCGCACAGATCTTGCATATGGTATTGTGAAGGACTCAGACGTTCAAAGTATCAGAGTATCAATGTAGACCCCATCCAAACTCTAAAAGGACAACAAAGCACACACATGCAAATTACGCGGAAAAGACAATGTGCATACTTCTTACAGATGGAATATACCAACCTCAATCACCATTCACTAATCTTCTCGAAAATACGATCCGTGTGTAGGGTAGCAGATGGTTTTCAGGCTTATATACTCCCCCAGAAATTAGAAAATGTACCCAAAGTGCACAGTGGTGATATTGTCAAACCAAGAGGGCGGAAAAAGGAAGGGTAGGATGAAAAGAGATAAAAATTCTTTATATTCGTACATGTTGTAATTAAAAACTTTGAGCCATGGGGTTGTTAGGTGGGGATTGATGGTTTTGCAAACTGGTCATGAGCTCCTGAATTGCTCAGGATAACAAGAGACAAGCGTACGATTTTCGCTTCGATTTTGTCATTTCTTTCTTCAATGCCGCTCCGTCGAGAGGTTTGAGCAACTCGAAGGAACAAAGTAAATCTTCAGAGACAGACATGACCGCACCAAAATTGTCGAATTCGCCACAGTAGCTGAACATCAGTTTTTGATCAATGTCACATATCTCCATCCCTAGCTTGTTCGATTGACAAGACGCTGATGTTTCTGACTGATATATGAGGGCGATAGAGGACTGGCTGGGGAGATTGGGTTGGAGTGAGGAACAAAAGGGGACACCCACTTTGGCGCTGAAAACACCGTTACCAATGTTCGATCATTATAAAACTCGTATCCATCCTCTACAACCATATGTGCTCGACAGATCAGATCCATATCCTGTTCAAGTCAGCTCATCCTTGCCAGACTCAATCAAAGAAGACCCTGTCACTCACATGCGTCGCCAAAAAGGCGTTGATCACACTTTTACCGTAACAATACGACACCCCCCTTTCGTTATCTTCCCAATCCATAGTCGTATCCGATGGGTCGGACCATACAAGGTCATTCAAGAGACCGAAATCTGGGACATCTGAGAGTCAACACAGAGAGTTCAAGGTACTCATCCCCACATGGTGGTGGTTGAGTGCGAGGTGAGTGAGGGTGGGAATAAGTGAGAGGCAGAGATGAGACTCACCCGTTGGCCTCTGGATCCGCCGTATATCATCCATACTCTTCAAACTTGGACTCAACCCCCCATGCACGCAGAATATTTTGCTCGCTACTATAGACGCGATGGGTAATGTGTTGAAGACATCTATGAAGGTTTTCCATGTTTTGATGTTTGTGCGACGTTTGCATTCGTCATAAAATCCATACACTGAGAGTAAGCACTTGTCTTTGGAACGCGATGCCGACATCAGCTGCCCTACATAACAACGCACAACACTTGGAATGAGGAGTTGGGAGGGATGAAGCAGGAAGAGTGAGGGATGAAGGACATGAGTGACATACCCCTCGTAACGTTCGCACATTCATGATTCCCTCGCAGCAGAAAGAAGTTTTCCGGGTACTTGATCTTGTAACATAACAGCAAAAGGATGGTCTCGAGTGATTGCTTTCCTCTGTCGACATAATCACCTAGGAAAAGATAGTTTGCTTGAGGTGGGAATCCACACATTTCGAACATGCGGATAAGGTCTGCGTACTATTGTGTCAACGACCCGCGTCGTGATATCTTCTTTGTCTCAGTCCCCTCCTTCCGTCTCAGATCAGGGGTCAGCCGGGACGTTACATCATGAGACAGTCTATTATTCCGTCCACAACACCATCAACTGTGGAAAGTTTTAAGCAGGGATGGGGATAGGAAAACAAGACTCACCTGACCATGTACATCTCCAACGATTTTGACTGGTGGACTCAATTCGATCAAAGTCGGTTGACTAAGGAAAACCTCCCTAGCTGCCGCACATACATTTGCAATCTCCGCATTTTTCAACGGAGGGCTTTTAGTCACTTTGCCGCTATATCCAGCCTCTAACAACCTGCTTATCATATTATCAAGATCCATCGCTCCAATTCCCATCGCACTAGCTCCCGACATACTACCTCTACTAACAGTGGCGGAAAGGGCTACTCCTGGTGAAAGACTAGATTGACTGTCTCGTGACTGATGAACGAAGGGACTACCTACAGGCGGCGATGAAGGTCTTCCGGGGGTTGAATGGGGTGGTGGAGGTGAAGTGCTCAATAAGGAGCTACGAAGGGCTGGAGAAGTAGGAGCTGTGGACGGGGAAGGAGGTATCGCCAAACCGCTTTGAGAATCCAATACACTTTGAGGTCTTGACGAACTGATTGAAGAGATGGAACCATTTCTATCCGCAGCCGTTTTGGCTCTTCGAGTGTTCATCCGTGGTGTAGACAGACTACTGAAAGAGTTGACAGATGCGAGAGGTGTTCCATCGGCAAGGTTTGAAGAAGAGGATTGGGAGTTAGGGGGAGGGACAGAGATGGTAACGTTTGCTATGGAATCGGCAATGTCATTGGGAGAAAGCTCCTTTGATCGAGTTCGACCTATCTTCTTGGATGGCGAGTTACCCATATTGACAGATTGTTATGGGAGAGAGGTCTATGAAGATGGAGAAATCGTCAGGGTTAGATGACGACGAAAGCCTCCTAAAAGCCGGTGAGAGAGATTACTGGTTGATTGAGACGCGATGAGCTCTTGACCCCCGTGGCGTGGGTTTGGGTGCTTGGCGCGGCCGCGCGGTCAAAGATGTCTTCCACCGAGAGTTGCGGAGGGTTGGAAAGAGCGACGAAGGCAGTGTTATGTGAAGACGAGAAGACGAGGTAGCATGAGTGAGTAAGTTAGGGTTGATGGGGTCAGGAGAGGGTAAGGATGACGAGGTGGAAGGAGAGTAAGTAGTGGTGGGAGGGCTGGCGTACGGCGTACGGCGTCGAGCACAGGGATTAGGAGTTCGCGTCCCACGGGGCATTTATCGAATAGTAAAGAAAATACTCCCGTTTCTTATCACAGTTAGTAATAAGTTTACTTATCCATAAGAACATGCGTAGTAAGCTGTGTCATGCATGAATCTGTATTATCAACTCGCAGCGTATGAAATAGGAAAGTGACTGCGTGAGCATACTGCCCAGTGCTCACTCGAATTATATCAGCAAGAAAGTGCTTAAAGGGAAATGAAAGCCAGAATGAATATGGTTTGACCACAAAGGCCTGGAACATTAAGTAACCTTTTCAAATCACTGGATCACTGGCACACTGGATCACTGGCCTCATTGGGATCACTAACTTACTCAAACTCGGCGCTAACCCAAGTACCAAAACTCTTCTCTTTCACAGATCACAGACCACCTGTAAAGTACGAGTACTCAACATATATCCTTTTCTTTCCCTTATATCACGTCAGACGTTCCTTCCCAAACACCCACATGGCTCAATCAGCAACCTATTACAACCCTCCACCACCTCAATCAACCTCTTCACGTTTCTCATTACCCTCAACCACTTCACCTTCACCTTCCTCCACTTCATCACCTTCACCAAGAAGAGAAATTTCACGTGCTTCTCTCCCTCCATCAGGATTACAAAATGTCTTCACACCGATTCCTGGTCAAGGTAGAAATGTTGGGATATTAGATAGACCATTGAATAAGACAAGAGGAGGTGAAGTATCAAATTCAGCTTGGGCGTTTTTGTTCGCGGAGATTATATCGTATAGTCAAAGTAGGGTGGATAGTGTGACTGATTTAGAGAGAAGGTTAGTTTTACATGATCCAACAAGTCATTCATCATAGGTGATAAGCTTGATACACATACCCTATCCATAGCATTCTCAGTGTGACATTGAGGAATGAGGTGGAGGATGATGACATTGAGTATTGTGATGCTGATTGAAGGGGATCGTTGTATATCGTCAATGCTTGTGCTGACAAATAGGCTAGCTTCACTAGGATACGAAGCAGGTCAAAGGATATTATCTCTTTTATTACTTCGTAACACCCTTACGACTTCTTCAAAAGTGAGTTTCGTTTCCTTTATACTTTGTTCAAATCCCACAGTTTTTCCATTCTTTGTTGTCCGTCTTCCCCCTCAGGTGACACTCTCTTATTTATGAAGTCATATTTCTTATATATTAAATAACATCCCATCTCTGTTCCCGAGTTGTTGGGGTGGGGAAAAATCAGTAAAAGATCGTGAAGTCTTGACTCACAACTAGGATCCAAAAAGAGAACATAGATTAATCCCAATATTACAATTCGTACATACTCAAGTATACAAATATGTTTTTGGTAAACCTGCCGATGGTTTGGAAAGGTCTGTAGAAGGTGAAGATGAATGTGAGTTGACTATCACTCTATTTTTGTATCTCTTTTCTGGTTACTATCTCTTCATTTATTCACTAGACACTAGCTCTTTACTCATTCACTACATACTAGCTCTTTATTTTTTCACTCAACACTATCTCTTTATCTCTTCACTGGACGCTAGACAATATCACTTTATCATACTCTATAAACCTATAAATTCCCCAAATCTTGTCATTTCGTAAGGTCCTATCATATTATCAAACCCTACCCCTTTTCTAAAACCCGTAGAATTGTACAAGTCATATTACCATGTTCACCTCTACATACTACGTGTGGAGATAATTGGGGGAATTGAGGCAAATGTCATGTGGAAATATACACAATGATAGAAGGGTAACTAATCCTTCAGATATGTTGACTTGTAATTCACCACCTTTGACTCAACATATTTCCATACCGAGGGATATGGGTCAATTATCTTGTGAAGCTTTTACTGCTGGGTTAGTAGAAGGAGTATTGGATGGATTAGACGTTGTGAGTTTTCTATCAGCCTTCATCACTGCGTCATCTCCTCGTTCACTCATGGTCTTTCTTTTCATCACGAGCCAAGATGGTGTGTATACGAATAGCTGGGTGGTCATTCATGATTCTTCTTCTTTGCTTCCCGTGTGAACGTATGATCTTCCCTCCGAACGATAAGACAAGCTCATGACTGATTTCAGCCCGCTAGAGTAACTGCACATACCGTCCCGACAGACCAATATCCTCAACGAAGTGTCATACTCATTAAACTGGATCAAAAGGTGATGGACCGAGAAGAAATTTTGGCCAAATGACGAATGATGGGAAAATGAAGTTATGACAACATGATACATGCAACCATCTCAATATCTTACAACCTCTCATGGGCGTGTGGAAACGTATCAGCGACCGATTTACAACCTTACATCTTTGGGCATTTTCCTCATCCTAACATTAGCTCGCATCCTCTCACGCAGCAATTCCCGTCTAGTATACAAGCTGCGCTTCGCCAGCTGAAACTGACCCCTCGCTCTCGCTCTCCTCTCCGACATCCAGGGTAGTTCCTGTGCTCATGGTGTAGTCCTGCAATGTTCGTGTGCGGTTTGTATGTCCAAGAAATCAAGATCAAGGTGAGAGGCAGTGTGAGAAGGTAGTGTATTGCGCCTTGCAGAAGGGAGTTTGGACGGAACGGAGGACCCAACGGGTGAAAGTGAGACTTGAACTTACGCCTGCCTCACACCCAAATCACCAAGTACATCCTCTGCTCCCCCGAGAATAGCATCGAACTTCTGAGTTCTCTGGAACTGCTCGATAAACTTGCCCATGCCTGTTCGAGTGATGGCTCGACCACCGAAGATCTGTACGGCGTCGTCGCTTATCTCACCTGCGAATCTGGTTGATTGCATTTTAAGGAAAGCGATTTGACCGGCGAGATTACGAGATTGTTCCTTGTAACTCTGTCCGTGAGTCTGATGCGTTCACCCTCCTCTTCCCTGATTCCGGCCGAATTCTTAAGCGAAGGTGTCGCCCATCCCGGGCCGAGTAAGTTTGATAATAGGAGAAAGAGGAACTGGAGAGGGGTCGAATGAAAAGGATAAACTGACCATGTTACACATCTGATATGTAATCTGTTCCAACCACGCTTGTGTAGCTTCAACTTTCGCAATCATAGCTGCCAACCTGACACTCAGTCTTGATCTTTTCTGGGACGGAGGGAAAACTCACTTGTGTCGAATCACAGCTTGGGCAAGGAGAGGTTTACCAAATACAAATCTCTGTGCTCCCCATTTAAGACATTCTTCTACTATCGTACGAGACGATCGCGCAGATGCACAACACATGACCCATCGTTCGTGCTACAAGTTAACCATTTTCTCACTTGTTATGACAAGCCAATACTCCCGAATGAGACATCACCACCAGGATAATGGTCGAGGAGAGGGGTGTAATGGTGTTTAAAGATAAAGTGTGAGGAATTAGTACTCACGTTAAAGTTTGAAAGAATGACGAGCAAACCCCCATCTTCCGGTCCCAACATGTTTTCCGCAGGTACTTTGACATTATCAAAAGTGATATAGGCCGTCCCAGCCGTAGTGGAATAAGAAGTCTTGATTTGTTTGGTTTCCACACCTTCACCACGAGGGACGAGGAAGACAGTGAGACCACCTTCGGTCTTTGCTCCGACAGTCTGATTCTCAGTGCGATCCAGATAAATCATCAGAACATACTCACGAAATAATCAGAATGCATGCCGCCCGTGATCCACTTTTTGGTCCCATTGATTGTCCTGATAATCAAGACCAACACAGATTACAGAAGGTGACATACCAAGTTTTGCCATCTTCACTCTTGGTAGCTGTGGTGCGAAGACCGGCAACGTCTGAGCCGGCGAATGCTTCGGAAATAGCCAGAGAAATAACCTAAAACGTCAGTCATTCTCTGCTCTGGTACTTTCGTCTCAACAGGGATGACCAAGTACGATCATCCCGGAGGTAATGAAGAGAAATTAGGAAGCCTGTTCACCTTTTGCCCACTGAAAACCTCATCCAAGACTTTGGACCTCAATGGCTCTTTGGCAAAGTTCAAAACCGGAGGTAAACCAATGACCATTCCAGCGTTCAAGCCATCACCATAACCTCTGGCGTTGATTCTTGAGATTTCCTGGTTAAGGACGAGTTCATGGAAATAATCGAATTCCTCCCCTTTGACAGCCCCGCCGAATAGTTGATGACCATGGAGATGTTTTCCTGGTCCGAGTCGCATGCGATTCAGGTTATTCTCGCTGAGCATTAGTCATTGTCACTTCCTACGACCATATCATTCTCCAGGACACAAAGTCAGACTGCAAAGCCAGATACAAATAAAATGAAGAATGCACTCACGCCATGGCTTGCAACACCTCTTTGGATGCACGTTTACCCGACTCCTCGCAGGCCTGCGCATCGGGATACAATAGTTCATCCACAAAAATACGCATGGCTGATAATCAACGACTAATCTTTCGCAAGGCAATCGAAATTGGGGTGGACGTGAAGAAAAAAATCACCTTTTTGTAAAGCCCTATGGGATTCTTTGAAGTAAGGACTTTTGTACTCCGGCGTCAACCATGTCGGTTCACCATAAGGTACACGGGAGATATCTCCAGGTAGTGATGGTTTTATACGTGGTTTCTGTCCTTCGACAATACCGATTCTGAGTCTTTGATATTGTGGTTTTTGTAGGATTTCTGAGCGATGCCTATGATCAGTAATCATTCCATACTCCGTCTTTCATGAGCTGGGAGTGTACCGGTGTATGGCGATCACGATTAACATCTGTATTTGACAGTTGGGAGGGGAAATTTAATGAGTTTCTCGGCTAGCAAGATTTACAAATAACGAGGACAGATCTGATATCTCAGGAAAGATGTGCGAGAGGTAATTGGAATTCGAGGGGGGGGGGGGAGGACAATCAACAACTCACAATCCGTAAAACACAGTAGTAGCATCTTGTCCAGCTACTTCTGGATCGAGTAAAACTCCAATACCACCAGGATGCATAGCTCCAAATTTGCTAAGGTCGTAAACTATGGAATCGACGATAACCCATAGATCACCTTCTTTCGTGTGCTAAAGGTCAGTTTTGTCCTCTCAACTATATCTTTCCCTCTGATTCCCGAATCATCGCACGTCATCTCAGGTGGACGAAAGCGTCTCCTCACGATTTGATGTACGATGAGGTATAAGAGTGTAGATAATTGGCCAAGCAGGAGTTACATAGAGACAAGAAAGCATAGGAGGTCCAACTTTCCTCGACAACCCCAAGGACATGACCTAGATCAGAAGGGGAAAAGATGGATGATGCTCACTTTGGCCACTTCATCTTTAGGTATAGACCTGAGATTCTCGGTTTGTGCTGACATGATGTAACTTTGACTTGTGTAGCTCTAAACAGGGGTTAAAGTGGATGATAGTGTTCGATACAGGTGGGACGAGTAGAGATGTCAATGGTGACGAAACGGACAAAGGCAAAGGATGGGATTGGACAAAGACGATGACAGGTGGGTTTTTCGATCGTGATGACCGGTTATTGAATCACCGGTCAACTTTGAACTTCCACATCCCATAACGCTGTCACATACACTGTATTCATATCATTTTAAACTTTGAGACAAATTGTGGATCCTATCACAACGGCTATATAACTTCTCACACTTAATGTTCCCCTCGATCCGCTTTCACCTATCTCGTCAGTCTCATCCTTGTGTGAAATTATGTGATACCCGAATGTTCATCTCAGCACAGGCATATTGGGAGATGGCATATAGGGACAAGGAAAGACAGGTAAACTCACTGCCTCTTCACTGCCCGTACGCGTGGGTTCATGTTTCGCTTTATGATGTTTAACACCTTTGTGCATCCCATCATCTTCGTCATGGTGATGTTTGTGGGTTTCTGTGATCAGATGGGGATGACCAGTCGCGGCTTCAAGAGGGCTCACGAAAAATGGTCTGTTCCTGCAGGGCTTTGCTAGGTTTGCCAGGAGGACCCGCTTGATCGGCCTGTGATTTAGTTGAGAACACGCAACGCAAGTCTCCTTTATTCTCTAGTCGATCAAAGATCAACCGGTGACACACTTTCTGGTACAGCATGCCGGTGTTATCTGCCAAATGAGGCCGGCCGGGCAGGCAGACTTGAGATGAGATTGTCTAGACAAAACGGGTATGAGGAAACCGAAGAGGTCCAGAAATCGTGCTTGACTCACTTTGACACCAGCTTCTGAATCAGTCTAATCGTCAGCTTCAGGTTCCATATACTTCATCTTCCGTCATGCTCTTCGCCGCCGTACCACTCCTTCCTTCCCTCCCTCCCTCCACACCAGTCCCTACTACTCGTGCATCTGCACAGCTTGCTCCTCAGCCTGAGCTGATTGCTGTTATCATCCCCCAGCACTGTCCCATCTCCCCTTCATCCATCACTTCCCCGTCATTTGGTAGATCTTACGACTATCATAACCCAACCGAGGTTTATCTTTACTTCCACCATCCCGGATGGTTAAGAGCGTATCAGAAGTAAAAACTCACGGCTAGAACTTCGTTCCATTGTGGGGCATGTTCTTTATGAGGACTAGAAGAATCTTGTGTACCTGATAAATTACGGGCTTTTTCCCTAGCTAGAGTCTAACTTATCAGCTGTTATGATCTAACGCTTTCATCCCATAACGATTGGAAACTCCTCGTACCTGACTAAGATCCACGAAGACTCGCGCAATGGTATCTAACCAGCCTGTCGTTCTTCGACATCACTGAAACACAAGGGCACAAGAAGATACGATCATGCCCAGTTGATCAAGCACCCATCTGTCCAGATAACGTTCGGCCCTCCGAATTCCATAGACAGCGAGAAAGAAATGAAAAAGAATATGAAAATTCACGTAGATGAAGCATTCAGTTCTAAAAGCAAGAAAGGAAAAGGAAGGTGTAAGAAGTAGAGAACATGATTAGAAAACAATCAACTCACATCGGGATCATTACCATGTACACTACCTGAATACTTTCCCACAGCTAAATTCATCCTTCCCATATTGACCCTGTTAGTCCATGCCATCCCACCCATAGGTCTAGATAAAATTCGAAGAGTCATTGTTGTTTCTTTCTTGTTCTAAAGCAACAGAGTATTTGGATATGTTCTTCGTTTTCTTGCGAAATGAAACTTTGTATTTCGATCTGATGCGATGTTTGAGCTAGGGAGTGAAGTGATAATTGAAAAGAAAGTAAAGGTGAAAGAACGAACGCATTGCGATTGGTCGAACATGTATGACGTCATACGCGCCTATTCCTTCTCCCATTACCCTGTTAGGCGCGGACTTCCATGACTATACTTGTAGTAGTAGAGGAGGAGTACAGTACGAGTAGAGTACTCGTACTCTCTCTAGTACAGATGCGGAAGCATGAAAAGATGGGAGATGTTCAAGAGGACCAGAGATGGATTGCTGACAAGACATAGGGGAAGAAATTAGATTGAGTAGAACAAGCATGCATGTCTTGAACAAACGTGAGAGTGGATCTACTGGTAGAAACTTGTAAACTTCTCCAACGTCAACAACAATAATTCATTTACTTCATCTTCCTTCTCTTGTCACTTCATAGACCCTGCTTTACACCTTGGACCATCTCTCTTAAAAAATCATTCGTACATTGTGACAATCTTCTTTACATGAAATCCCAACAAGCCCAATGACCTGTAGTCCTATTGCACAACCCCCAACAAGGTGTAAAATCTTCATTCTTCCCCACTGTCCAACCTTGCACAAGTTAGTCGTTCGGGTACACTTTCCACCACACTTTCGTCGTACTCGTCATCCTCTCCGTCATCCCTGTCATCTTCCGTACTAACACCAGCTCTCGCATTCCCTTCGCTGTTGTTGATATCTACCGCCTGCGCTTCGTTATGAACCGGTATGACTGGTCTCGCAGTCGAATCAGGAACCAAAGCAGGCATGTCCATTGATAATCTTGGCAGACCATGTGTCGACATTGGAGCTGGAGGAGAATCATGATTCGCCAATGTCGTCACTGGTGCCACGGGCTGAGAAGGGGATGGAAGACTGGTGGGTGGAGTACGTGGCTGAACGACTGGACTGGGAGTTTGAGAGTTAGAATCGGGATTGTTAATGTTGGTATTGGTGGAATTGGCAGGGGAGATAGAAGTGGGTCTGGCAGGCATGGGAGCGAATGACACTGATGAATTTGCTCGAGAACGGTTTCCACTGAATTTAGAAAATATCTTTGAGGCACCTGACTTGGTTGGGTTGTGCGAAGTCGAAATGACTCGACGGGAAGATTCTCCAGGATTTTGAGTGGGAGTGGATGTGCCGCTAATGTTTTGAGTGGGTTTGACGGTGGACGGTGGACGTTGCTGGTCGACGAGACGACGTTGATGCTCTTCGTGGTCGAGAAGGGAGAGACGCATAGCTTCCATAATCATAAGCTGGGTGTTAGTTAAAGAAATATTTCTCATTGGCAAGGCAAAGTCGAATGGGATCCAAGTCAGACTGTCGTCGGCATGAACCACGGATAGCTTTGTGGATGAAAAGAGAGCATTCGAATGACGCCAACAACTTACCTCTTCTAGCTGAGTATCACGATTCCCATCCCGTCTCCTGGATCTTCTCGAAGTACCTTCACCCTCAGCCGGTGGGATTGACATGCTGAAATCAGCCGTCCCGGGTGCTCTTGAACTCGTGTATCCAATTGGGATCAGACGATCTCCCACTTGACGCATGATGATCCTCCTGCTAGCTCGTCTGGCCGCAGCAGCTTTCACGGCATTCAGTTTGCGCTCCCAGTCGGGTCGTATTTCATCTGCATTGTCAGCTTACTGCAGTAGGAATCGTTCATGATCGATCGAGTGCTGTTGCCCATTGTGTACCCATGACAATGAGGAGAGTGGCTGCTAGAGTGAAAGTTGCAGAAGGGGACATGTCAAAATTCAGACATACCAATCGTCACTACCTCTTTCGACTTTGAGCTTACACTCTTCCTCCTCATAGTCTCTTGTACTTTCGGGGGCATCCCGATACCTAAATTCAATTCCCCAACTTCCGACTTCATATCCATCGCTTTTGCCAGGTCCGATGTTGGTGCTTCGGGTGAGGTGGCGAGGGCGGATCCTGACGACGGAGTGGCTGGTCCGAGCGGTGAAGGTCGTTCGTAGATTACTCCAAAGTCCGTTTCGACGCAAAATGGGCAGCAGGCAGGTTCAGACTCCAGATGAGTAATGGTGGGTTCGGATCTTTTGATCTGGACGAAACATTCGGTGCAGATGGGTTGTTGGCAGCAACGAGAAGTGTTGATGTTGGGTGGGTAATTCTGTGGGGTTAGAGAAGGTCTCTGGATCCTTGAATGCATCATTGAGAATACAACTCTTCGGCGACTGTGTATAGATGTGCAAAAGGAAGTTCGAGAAGCCTGACATGCCAAAATTAAATCAACCTTTTGGTTGATCCAGAGCATCAGCGTATCACTGCTTGGTAAGGGGTTATGAGAAGACGAAGTGGTAGGGGCAGAAGAGACGAGACGTACTAGAAAACATATGGGACATTCTATAGCGTCCAGATAAGCCTTCTTCTCCCTCCTCTCTCTTTCCTCTTTATCTTCTTGCAACTTGGCTTCCGATGCTTTCCCCCTGTACACGTTGATGCTCTTACCCATTGTTCCCTGTGCACCTTCCCTTTCCTCTTTAAGCCTCTCAGTGACGCTGTTACCCACACCTTCTTCATAATCCTTCTCCTTGACTTCTTCCAATATCCTTTCCACATCATCTTCGCCCCAATCTTCTTCCCAGTCTTCAAGACCTCGATAAAACGGAGCGAGTTTCTCATCAAGTATAAGACGGGTCACCACATTCTTCGAGTAATCATGTATCTGAGGAAGGGACAAAGCATGTGGGTTCTGAGGTGTCAAATGCCCTGCATGAGGCATGAGCAGCGGTGTTGATGGTGGGGGTGGTGAAGGTGTTCTAGCTGGAGGTGTAAGACCGGAATGGAAAGCATGTGGGAAAGCGGCTGATGGATTAGGTAGATGTTGAGAAGTGGTGGGTACGGGTTGAGAGGTTGATGGTGCGGTGGAAGGAGGTTGGGTGGTTGGAGAAGTAGGACCGGATTGTCCTGGGCTAGAGTGCGAAGAAGTATTGCCCATGGTTGATGGTGGTACTTGTATGGGCTGATTGGGAGAGACGACAAGAGGTAGAAGAGTAGAGTGGATAGAAGAAGCCAGAGGCTAGAGGAAGGTGAATGAATGGAAGAAACCAGTGAAAAAATGACGTCTGTGAGAAAGAAGGGTTGATGGGTAAGACGGACCTCGTGATACCGTTGACAACTTGGATCGAATCACCCCTTGACCCGTCTCAAAGCCGATGAGTACGCAAAGACCCAAACGAGCGAGGTTTGGCCCAAGTGGTTTAGGTGAAGGAGGTGTGAGTGTGCGTAGTCTGCCCAAGCTGCTCAGAGGATCAGAGGTCAAGTGATGAATGGGTAAGGTATAAAATGAACAAAGCAACAAGTAGAGTAAGTAGTGGAATTGGCACCTGCAATACGGCAAGTCGGCAATACGAGTGGCTAGTTGGCTTGGCTGAAATCGAGGTATCCCTCACTCGGCTTTCCTCGGTAATGTCGATTATTGCTTGTACGGCGGCACGATCTGCTCTTCTGATCGTGTTATGGTGGAGACACGGCCACCGGGTTCCCAGTCATAGGGAAAGATGTGAGGGGTATAGCGAAAAGACGGTGGTCAAGTGACATAAGTAAGGTTTCGATGACGCAGGCTGGATTCTTTTCCCCTTAAGAGACTTGAGTCAATCTCAGGACTGGGGAGAAACCTTCGGACCGGTCCATCAACAATGTCTGTCTCGGCTCACTCACTCATCTTTCTTTCTTCACTTCTATCATTTTCACTCTCATCATGACTGATGTCGCTGACTCTATCTGCTTACTAACCTTGCTGATCTACGAGTAGTGGGTGTGACTGACAATATCTGACTGATGATTTGGCTGAAAGGCACGTTCCCCGATCCCCACTTATTGAACACGCCCATCACTCTCCCATCAACGCGGCATACACACACCCTCCCTCGTACCCCGTCTCGAATCTCCCTGGCCAGGGCATCATGGTATCATCAAGGTCAAGGCGACAGACCTCCTCTCTGCGGCTGCGCTCTTCTTGTACGTGTCTTCTCATTTCACACATCTCTCTTCTTATCCCCCTTGTCCATCCCTGTATTCCGCCCGGACCCTCTTGAATTGACTGACCTCCTTTCGTTTCCCCACCCTAGGTCACCTTGATCACCTTTCTAACCTCATCAATTCTGTTTTTCGTTAGTCTCTGTCGATCCCAAAGTATCGTATTTCCCAATCTACTGACACTATCTCTCACCCCTCATGAGAGGTATATCCACTCGTCGAAGAATATCCATCCTCCTCCTTGTATCTCTCCTGACTATATGTCTATTATTAGGCTTTGATCTCCGCGAACGCCCCTTTGGTCTTTCCTACCTCACCAGCGGGACTTTGGACAGATGGGACGGGGTAAATAATACGAATCGGAAAGATACTCAAGTGGGGAAACAAGAATACCAAGGTGATATTCAGTATGACCAACAGAATGAGCTGGAATGTACTACTTGGGATCCGCGGAATCCAGAAGAAGACGATCCGAAGGAATGTGTAAGGGCGAGACAATGGAGACAGGTTCAGAAGGTTATAGAGAGGGAAGAGAAAGCGGAACAGTGAGTTGTCATTCCCCCATTTATTCTGCTCTCCTCTACGAGTACTACATATCCATGGGTCTTGTCATTCAATTCGTTGGGGTATCATAACGAAACATCTGCCAGAATTCCAATATGGAAACCATCGTGGATACATCACGATGGAATGAGGAGCTAGCTGGCATAGCTGGAATAGCTGGAAAGACGTTGAGGAAATTTGGCTCTTATCGGGGCAACAGCTGATTTTCCCGGAGATACCGGTAGTTGATCGCCCTGGTTTGCTGATACTTAGCGAACATTGGTATTTCACCAAAGAACATAATCTCGCAACATTCCGTAATGTTTCCCGCTGTTTCTTACCACAATGGCACGAAGACTACAAACCATGTCCGGACAAACCCCTAATCATCAGTGGTTGGTGGTATACCGCGGTGGTCGTCGTGGGTGGGACGAGCGGAGAGACCATTTGGCAAGCGTCTTTGGTGAGTTTTCACACATCAGTCCCTCACTACCCTTTTTGGAATGATATCTGAACTATCCATCTTCATACACATCAAAATCAGAAGTTCAACGAGCCAACCGATTTGTCACAAAGACAACGACACGGCAGAGATGAATACTTACAATGACAGTATAAACAGCTTCGAACTCTTGACATGGAAGTTGCCCTCGTTGGACCATATACGAATTGGGTACAAGTGGCAGAGATGATGCCAGACGTTTAGTTAGTTGTCTGTAAAACTGAGAGAGTATAGCTTATGATCAGTCGATTTTTATGGAATTCTGAAACGGATACAGTATCATGCATTACGGATCCCAGATGTGTCGCTAAAGAACATTATGTCCCTCCTGAGGACGGAAAGGATATCAGTATTGGGGTACCAGATGATGAAAGGGGGAATATACCTATTTGGAAAATACAGGTGGTGGATTATGTGAGCCACTGTTTTTTTTTCCTCCAGCGTCTATTCATTCCATCATCTATGTCCAGCGCTACTCAGTCTCCGCGCTCAGTCCTTTCTCCCGGACTTACTCCTGCCATTGAGCGTAGGATATACCCCATCCACACAGCCTCCCGAATCCTCTGTATCTGTTGCAGTAACCGACCAATGTTGACATAATTCAGTGGGGTTGCAAACCTCCGGAAGTGTCAAACAACGATTACTGGTGGAATCGTACTGTTGAAGGTGATTGGAGTTTTCAGCCTTTAGGACAAGAATGGATTGCTACGTAGGTGTTATTTGCTACTCGTATCTTTCTCCTATTTCCCCATCATTCCGAAAGACCTTGGAAACATATTCCTCCATCAACCGCCTCTGTCGTCGAATTGGCTTTTCTAAGACAGAACTTTTCAGAATTTCACCACCTCTATTCGTGCGCCGGCAGGATCCAAGACGACAACTGATGATAGACCATGGCCTTTACCTGGACATTTTCACCTACCATATTCCATCGAAGATTATTGCCTACCATTAAAGTTTAAACCTCACGAAGAGAGAGAAAACACGGTGTTGATCTTTGCCAAACGGTCTTGTGAGTGAAAACTTGTTCATGATCTGTTCACAATTCCTGATCCCTCCCTATACTCCGATATATCTGTAATACTTCCCCTCATCCCTCCTTTCAGTCCCACTGATCATCCATCTTGGTGGAAGGGGATAGACAAGTACCACCTCATCATCCTCATCATTGACTATTGTCCATTGTCAATTGACCAAAAGCATACTTCGATCGACACTACATCCCCCAACGATCATTTTGGACAGCGCTAGCCGCTGAGCCAGATTTCGAAATCATTTCCACCGCCGAAGTGGAAGAAGGACATCCCATGCCAGACGGACTGGAAACCCTGGGTCCACAAAGTCGAGAAGCATACGAAGCATTAGTAGGGAATGCCAAGGTATTATTAGGCATGGGAGCACCATATGTTTCTCCTTCGGTATATACGGCTTTGTGAGTGTTTGAGTTATTTCGTGACTATCCTCAAACCCCCTTTTCCTCTTCTTCTCCCTTTCTGTCTCTTACCCGGTATATATACATGGAGTCTAGATGAATCCAAAAAGTTTCAAGATGTTTTATGCCGAGTTTTGCACGAAATACTCTAACATTCATCGATAATAACAAAAATGTGTCAAGATTGGAGGATATGATATAAGTGAGAAGGTATAAGGAAGGATAGGAAACTCACATATCAGATGTCAAGGTACTCCTGTTGTTTTACCTACTTTCCTTCCTAAGCCAAGGATGGATGGATGGCATTTATATTCTGGGTAAGTCTTTCTCTCTTCTATTTTCTTGATCCAATCTTCCAATCACCAACTCCCAATCACCAGAATATAATCCTCACTCAACGATTCATACAGTGTATGAATCCTCCTCCGTTCTTTGATTTCTCAAGCTTTTAGCTTCCACCTTCACAAAAAGTAACAACCCCGTTTCAGCCCTCTCATAACTTTGAGCCCGTTATTAGTACGACACTGATGATCAGATTAATGCAACATGGTCCTGCTATGGTCCTCGGTCCACCATATGTTTACACTTATCATTCTGGGAATTATACCTCTTTATTAGAAGTTTTACAATTAGCTTTGAAAACTCCTATTGGGAGATAGTGAGTATTTCTTTGGGTCAATTCCGTCCATAATTTACCTATCATATCAATCCTATAACGAAACCCTTACCCTTCTCATTCTGATAAAGTCATGATCTCACCCTTACCCTTTCCATGCCTTACAATGACGTACTCTCAGCATAGTGTCGAGGAACAATATGCCGAAAAACGAGGTATATGTTGAATTGCACAGTGTTAGAAATATGAATCGACACTGACAATCCAGTATTCCAGACGACATGCATTGGTCTTACGCTATAAATGTCATGGAAGGTTACATCAATCGAGATTTAGAATCAATGTATCGATCGGTAATTTCTTCTCATGGTGGTATACCCAGAATGTCAAAAGGTGCAAGGGAAAGATGTTTCCAATTAGGTCGTTGTGAGGAATTACCACCTGGTAAGTTTAAGCTTAACATCAACCCCAGTTGAATGATTTGGGTGATTATTGGATCTTGAGAGGAGTGGGTTACAGGATTAGGAGTTAGGCGAGAGATATAAAAATTTGTCTTATGTTGTTTTACCATCTTGATAGAGGGTAGATTTACAAGTTTAGAGATGAATTTGATGCATGATAAAATGTGTTTCTTATTTTGACTTGTAATCTCGATCATCTTCGTCTTTATTACATATGAACTCGAGATCAACTTCTTCATAACCCCACATAATACTGATTTTACTAATTATCGACTCGTTCGTCACTCCTCGGTCATGATGATGAGGGTAGATGAAGTGCGAGTAGAACGAGTACTTGTAGAATATCATCAACTTGATCAGGTAGCAGCACCAACTACCAATTTCCCATCCATTCCTATACCTTTTAATTTTTTAGATTTTCTTCTGCCCACCATTCCTTCTTCTAAAATCTCAACCACATTACCTTTCCCAACATATTCCCAAACATCTTCTTTCTTAATACCTTTCATATCACCCCAAGGTCTATCTTCTTCTTCTCTCCATTTCAAAACTTTTATTAAATCTTTTTCACCTTTATTATCCGGACCTTCTTTTGGTTTACCAACAATATCCTCTCTTATTTCCCTTTCTTTAATTTCTTTCTTACCTTCTTTCCCTCCATTCAGAGTATTAGTACCATTACCATTTTGTAAAATAGGTACCATTGTATAAGTTGTCAATGTTGCTTTTCCTTTTCCTTTTGATAAATTCAATACTTTTCTTCCTTCTGTCGTAGAGTTAGAAGTATGAGAGTTGATGGATGTAGTGATGGAAGATGATAAAGAAGGAAATGATCCTCCACCTGATTGAACTAGTAATTGTTCACGTTGAATTCTTTTACGTTCTTCTTCTTCTGATTCTTCTATGGAAAGTTGTTGAGATAATTGACCTTGAACTAATACGATAAGACGGGAAAGTTGAGCAGGGGATAAAAGGGAACGACGACATGATGGACATGGTAGATGAGATGGGTGAAGTGAACAGATGATTAAACCACATTTACCACAATGAGGTGTGTATTGAGATAGAGGATGGATCTGAGCTATTTGGAATTAGCTTGGAACCAAAGATCTTTATCATTCCTTGACGTTTCTCTTTTCAACGGTTTGTCTATCATCCATTTGTTCAACTTCATGACTTATTTCGGGAAAAGATTATATCAGTTCATCACTCATTTTCAGAACCTGATTCCCTCCGTCCAACTGACAGGCATGATTATCGAATATAGTGAAATTCAGACCACAACTCACCTTGACAAAAACAATCCAAATGCCCTTCTTCCTCTAAAGCACCTTGACCTAATTGCATCCTCTCTAAATTTCTCAGAACATTCTCAAGTTTCACAACGACTTCAGATTTCTCTTTATCCCATATCTTATCCCCTTTCCCGCTCGCTTTCGCTTTCCCTTTCCCCGATCCAGATCCTTGAACATCACGATGACTCTCATGAGCTTGAGACGATTTCTGAGCTTTTTCAACAATACTCAACCCTCCGATTTTTTGTCTTGGGACAGATGGTTGTATATGACGTGAGGAATCGTCTGCATCTCGATTTTTCTGATAAATCTTTCCACCAGGACCGAATGCGTTACTGATTGAGTCTTGTGTGTTCGGTGAGCCCGGATAGGATGTTTTCGTAGCGTTTTGTGAGAAAAGAGGAGATGGAGTAGGGGAAGGTTTGAGTGAAGAGGTAGATGATGGAGGAAGAAGAGATGGGTTGGAAATGGTTGGGAAACGTAATGCTAGATATCGTGAGGAAAATGATTTAGCGGCTGTTGATGATCCGAGAAAATCCTATTCCGTCAGTCACCCGACTTACCAAATTCACTTGGTCCTCTTCGTTCTCTGGTGATAGTGTTTCGAGATGAATATAGTGATGTTCGTGAAAAAAAGGGGCTCACTTGAAGATGACTCGTCAGACGGGCTTGGGAAGTGTAACCCTCGAGATCTGGAATGATCATCTGTTTCACGGATTCTTCATCTGAATATCAGCCTTCTATTCGCGGATCAAAGGGGACGTACCGATCCCCAGGATGGAGGCGAGCTCGCGTGTGACCCATGGAGGTCTTTGAGTCATTCTGGCTACAAAATAATAATGTTCGCGACGGGTGATAGAGGTACAGTAGTGAGTTACTCGAATAAGTTAGTTGGTAGTGAACGAAGGGTGACATAGAGAGAACTTGTGGAGTTCTCAAGTCTCGGATCCGAGTGGCAGCGTGGCGGTAGTAACAAAATTAGAAACAGAGTTGAGGATGAGGGAGTGGATGACTGCAACTAGGAAGCATATATATTGTCTTGACCACGGTAGTTAAGTTGATTGAGAAGAGACCCATGACACTACTGTTCCAACTACTTCCATGAAGAATGCATAAATTCAAACAGCGAGTTCACAAATGGTTATCATCTCAAATCATTGTGAATACCATTCCCTCAATCCCTGCCTTGGCCTTAGTGCTCCACCATCTCTCAGCATACTCCCTGGTCTTCTCTTCCATCTCTTTCGCTACATTCTCCGCTTTCACCACTTCTATCTCTCTAGTCGTGTAATCTCCCCAATACCATAAACTCTCCCACCATGCTCTTTCCGTTTCTCTACGAGGAGGATATCTCTTTTGAGCCGTTTCATATATCTCATCCCAATTTACCCCTTCCGCCCATTTAGTCCAAGCGACTAGATGATATTGTACTCTTGGCTCCCACTCTTCCCCCGAAGGTTCTGCACCCTGGATCACATAGTCGTTCATCCATATTTGAGGGATGGTATAAAATCTCTCGATTATCTCCGGATGTCTTTGAATTCCCCTTGCTAACAAAGCTTGATCGGTAGCGTGAACTTGCTCGGTTGCCCAGAGTTCCGCTTCGAGAGCAATACACTGTGAGATGAAAACCAGTAGGAGAGGTGTGACTCGATAAAGGGTGACACCGTTATTGAACCCGTTAAAATCTTGATTGGCTAAGATAATTGGGGATGGGGATTGGGATGGAGGTGGGAGGAGTAGATGAAGTGGTATTAAAGGATCGATTACGAGAACGTCTGCGTCCATTTGTCTACTTATCAGCCTTGAATAACTTTGAGATACTGACTACGTCATAAAGCTCCACTGGTGATGATAGGTCGGTAAGAAAGTTCTCTTCGTTCTGGGTTCAAGGAGAATTGGTTCATGGAGGGAAAAAATAGATAATGATAAAGAAACTCACGCGACCCATTCCGATCCTTCTTCACCTTTTGCCAATTCATCCGCTACCGCACGATGCAGGACTATCAACTTATTGTTATGTGTGTTGAAACCAGGCAATTCTCCTTCCTCAGACGTTTGTTCAGTGGTGAAATATTCTGATCTGTCAAGTCTATAGTTATACCCATGATATTCACAATAGGCTTCATGACTTCTTCTACTCAATTCTTTCAATTCATCTGGAGTAAGTCCATCGTCCCTAGGAGCGAGGTGTTGTACTATCGTTATTCTATGCTTGGTTATTCGTGATATATCTTGTGATCGGGACGAGTAAATAGAAGAAGGTAAGAAGAAAGAAGTGAGACAAACGGTTGTGAATGAAAACGTCCCAATCAGTAATATTAGATACCTACTTAACGAAGGTTGGTAGGTGGTCCTCATCCAATTGAGGGAGATCATTGTGAGAAATTTAAAGATGTGAGTCAAGGAGGGAAAGTGGAATGATTATCAGAAATGGACAGGAAGATTTATGAAGATGAGAACAAAGCGAGTGTTGAAAATAACCTCATGATCGATCGTCCACAAAGATGGATTCTTATGGGAAATAGGGGGAAAGAAAAGAAGGGAAGCGGTCGAATAACAGGTACTCGGCCAGGGATCAAAGGTTTCTCATTACTAAATTCAAAACACTGAGTTTAAAGGTAGGGAGAGAAACTAACCTTCCTTTCACATTTTCACTAACCCGGGTAGAATGAAAGGTAACTTGACTCAAAGTGGTCGGCGATCGTCAGAAGCTTATCCTCCGGGATAGAAAAGTCAAAGTTTCGAAAGGGGGAGAAAGCCCGATGGTACGTACGATATCACGGATATGCCAAACGAAGAAACAAGGATACTTTTCGTACTATGTATATTTGGGTCATTGGCCAAGAAGGGGGAAGGTGGGTATGCAGTCAGCAATCTCAGTGAGGGGCTTGGTCGGGTGAGACAAGTTGTCTAGCTGGTCCATGTCAAGATATGAGTACTATTATGATATCAGTTATCTCTTTCATATAGGCCAGTGTCAGCATGTCAGCATCCATGATGGACAAGTGTGGATGAAGGAAGGGAGGAAGTAAGTACTTGAAGGTAAATCAAGTTGACTCGGATATCTTTCACGAGGAGAAACGGTTAAACGGTGGAAGTTGATCGAGAATTCACTTTGCATTCATCTCTCAACCTCAACGCTACTTAACTTTGACTTACAACTATTCGCTACTTGTCATATCTCATTGCTTGGAGTTATCATCATGAACCCTTCCTCCACAGCCTCCACTTTGAGGTTCGATCCATCAGCTTCACCTCTTCATCCTCCATCGGTTACTCACAACGCCCGAGTCCTTTCCACATTATCTACCGTTGAGTGTCTCTTTCTCTTACCTCTTCCCTGTTCATTGCCTCAATGACTCGTCGCTTATGCTCCCCTTGCATCTCTCATCTCATCCGCACATGTGTCATCGACCTTTCCTTATGATATCAGCACGTTTGGGAATCTTACTACACAAGGAAGTCCATTCTGACCACCAGCTCTGCGCTTGCTTTTCCGGCCTCACAGCCGGTATCCTTGGTCTTACCAACTACTCTGGCTTTTTACTTTACCTCATCACTTCTCTTCTCTCAGCTATCTTCATATCTGTCCTGAAATGCGGTCTCGACCCATCAAAGTATGTGGCCCAGGCGCATAGTCCTACGGGTGGTATAAAACCTTGGAAGGCTTGGTGGGGATTGACAGGACTGGGACAGGAGAGTTTGTTAGGATTTTTGTTGTTCTGGATCGGAGGATACGGGCTGATACATGGTGAGTCTAATGTACGATTTTTAGCTGACCGAGTAGTCTATGATTAATTGAATGCGATATCATTTTTCGATGACCCCCCCCTCCCCCAAACACACACACACAACTGCCACCAGTTCGAAAAACGGCAGTGCACACCGTCACTGATCGGTCACCTGAATCATTCTGGAATCAAGCTGCGGTCAAGACTGCTCACCCTACCTTCTCATTAGCTCACTCTCCTATCCTTTGAGGTGCTTTACATTGACCACACCCATGATGTCTATCGACCAGTGTTAAGGTGAGTTCATTTCACGTATCTATGCCCTTCCATCCTCCCTACACTCCCAGACGCCATCAACGTTACGCCGAGGCCTATAATTCCTTTGTCTGGACCGACTTCCGCAGAATGATAATCTCTCTTGCTGGCTGAAGGGTGTCTCTTTTGAGGTATCTTTGTCCCCTCAGCGCTATCGCTTCATAACCGACAATCTCCAAATGAATCGGTGCCGAATCGTCGATGAGCTTTCGAACGGCATTTGACAAAGCAGTAGGTAACGTTTCTAAGCTTACCTCGGGGCGTATCGAGATATAAGGTTCCGACAAGTCACCCGTAAAAAAGGTGCTATTGCGCTTCACTTGAACTCCGAAAATTCCCGACCGACTTTCGTGATGCAAGAGCGTCTTGAACGCCTCAGTACTGACCTCGACACCGGTCTTGCTGCTGCCAGAGACCTCCGTCCATGTCTCGTCTTCGCATTCGTAAATAATCCGAGGACCTTCTGCGTCGTTAGCTGAGTCAGCCCTGTGAACTGAGAATGATTGGTGAGTGAAACCAGTGAAGGCCGTGAAATACAGATGGCGAGGCAGCTCCTCGCCCAGCCCTAATGCTGTGAATCTGCCGGGCGCGAAATTGGTAATGCAATCATCGGCAAAGTCAGACCGCAAAGGGTGTACCTCATTGGCATACGACCTGATCACTCTGGACCATTCGCCGGGCTTAGTGACAGTGGTGGACATGCTAAGCTGCAATCAGTAGTAAGTTCTCTTCTTTGTGTAGGGGGGAGGTAAAGTTTCTGACACAGCTAGCGTGACCTTTAACAGCGTCTTCGACGGAGTTCGTAATACGACAAAGGTTCGACGCTACAAGGCCTGGTGATCCCCAGAAAGGGGATAGGGTAAGCGGCGGAGTCTTGAAATCTTCATGCCTGCTTTGTTGGAGAAAAAAGTGAGCTCCGCACCTCTCAACCACTCTTCTCTCCAGCAGTGTATTAAAAATAAACTTCTCCTTGATGGCGGATTCGTAACAACGAGGTGTCGGGTAAAGGGGTTACTTCGACTTCTTCCTGATGCCTACAATACTGAATTACCAGCTCCGCGACCCAGGGCCCATAGGATTGAATCATCGTCCAAGATGGGTCCAACTCCAAGTCCACTTTCACTTGCCCCTACTTCCAATGGGAATTTAAACGTCGACGGTCAATTTCAACCCCTCAGATGATGACGATGATACGGACCGGCGCGGCCTTCCCACGTGCATTACTCGTACTGGACACACTATGACCCTCCCTTTCTCAGTCCTATCTCCAAGGATTATGCGTTCGGGAGCCACCTATCCCACCTCTGACGCTTCCCGATCGCAAGGACGGTCTCAGTCCATCCCTCGAGCGTCGCATTCTCTCAGAAAACTCAACATGCTCCACTTCGATTGTGATGGATTCCTCTGCAGGTATATTCCCCCCGTACTCGATAGCTGCGCCCCAAGGATGTAACGTCGCTGAAAAGCTCTTGAGCCGAACTTTTGATATCGGGCGGTCTGTTAATATGTCGACAGCCATCAACAAAACGTGCGACACCACATTGAACTCTTGCCAATCTCTGGAGGGTATCTGGATGTTGTCAAAGTGAGTCTCCAGCGTGTAGGGATCTGCTGACTTGTACAGCTTTTGCCATTGGGCCTCCCTTTCCCTGATTTCCGGCAAGACACTTTCAAAAGCGCGCGAAGACACCCATACCGACTGGCCATCATCGCTAGGTAACTCCGTCTCAACATACAATGTCGCACGGCACACACATCGATATTTCTGACCTCCTTCCTTCGTGACTGTGTAAAGGTGAGCTTTCTGGGTTCCATCTCCACTTCGGGCGACGACGCATACATGCCCAAGTTCCTCGGTGCACCCAAAATCTTGGGTGCATCGCGAGGTAAGCGTCCAACCGTCTGGATTGAACGAGGATAGCGGCACATCTACAACACCCTCAGGTGTATCAACCCTCCGCGTGACAGTATAAATATCGTCTCGTAGTATGTCGAGGGACATTGTCTCGGTGGCGAGTCTTGGTCAAGGTTTGTGGGGAACGAGTTACATTCTTTCCCCCCAACTCTTATCGAACGTGGGAGGTACTAGTTGTAGGTCCGACAAACTCGACCGCGGACTTTGAGTGATTCCTAGGCGGAGATTGGTGCGTTTCGATCCTTTGTGCTGCTAAGTTGGAGAGGAGATATGTTTAGAGCTAATGCTTAGACCCTCATCCATGTCCACAACATCTCTTCAGCACTGCATCCCGAGACGTCACTAGGATCTGATGCGTCAAACTATCGAACAAGGAAAAGATGATACGGTTTGAGGGGACACGTCAAGCTGTGAGCGATCCTGCGCAGCGTGTGGGAATGGTCTCAGGGAAAGACGAGAACAGATTTCAACGACAGGGGGAAATGGTTGAGAAAGATGTAAGTGGTAACCACCTTTTTCAATGTTTTCCCCTCACCTTCCGTGACGTTGAAAGTAGCTGACGTCAGGATACATGCTACCCAAGACCCTATGGCGTCCACTTCCCAATTCCCCTCCGATCGTTGAGATTCCCATGGCGCAGGTCTCTCACCCTCACACCGGCATGGAACCGAGTCTCTGAACCTACGAATTTTACTCCACGACCCACCATTCTTCGTCTCGCCGCCCGAAAAGGCTTCGTGTGGGTCGTTCGCTAGCCATGACATGGACGTGAACTTCGAGTCTCGAAGGATCCGGATCCCGGGTCGCGATCGGTCATGTTGCTAGCCGGTGTCAGGACCAGACGCCGAAAATAGTCTGCGTCAATGAGCTATGGCTATAGGGCCTCATTGGGAACAGACCTAGTGATGTAGTAGATAGTCTATTGATGTAGTGCATCAAAGAGACTATAAGTTGATGAGATCTAGTGGCAAAGAATTTACTAAGTGACAAGAAAATAAATTTTGACAAGACATCTACGGAAAGGGGCTGTTTCTATATACTAAACCGGAAGCGGAGTGATACCAAAATCTATGGAGTAAAGATGGGCAATAATATGAGGTGGAACAATGAAGGAAGACGGAGATAGATGCGGGAGACGGAGGTGAAGGAAAAGTATTGTGGGACGATGAAATAGTCGAATAGGTGTGTTAGAGACCCAGCCGGAGACGTGCAGCTCCGGAGTCGCACGGATTAAAACCCCCTAGTCGGACCCATTCAGAGAGGTATTCCACTCCGGAGCTGCATGGTTAACCATGCGACTCCGGAGCTGAATGGTCCACACTGTTCACGGAATAGTCTGCAGCCGGTTCTCCAGTCTCGTCACTAAGAATGCATCGGCAGGCAAAAGTATCCATATTGTTCGGCTATGTCTGCATTCCACCCATGTGTAACGGTACTGGAAACACGATGACTAGGTCGCAGGTTGGGTCGAACTTGATGGATGTCTCGTGGAAATCTAGAGAATCTGGTGCTAATGGATCGTGTCTCCTCTGCAATCGATGTAGCCAAAGAATGATATTGAAGAATCAGCAAAGTTGGTACTTTGCTGATTGTACTATATACTGTCTACAGGTACCCGTCTCCTCTTCTCAGTCCTACTGCAAGCGTCCATGTACATACTTGGACAGGTGAAAAACCGCTTTGAGCAAACCCAGTGGGGAAAATCTCGAAAGGGGAAAACCCGTCCCTACCTACTGCAGCACTGCCTCCAACTCCCGCTTTCCTCCATCCTAATCCGTCGAACTCGATAGAGTTCGCTCGATTCGTTGTTACCCCGTAACACCATGCATCCACCTCTTACCATTGTGTCCACATTCTACCACTCAACACATACACCACATACTCACTGTCCCCTCTCTAAAGACCTTTCTTTCTCTCTATAATAGTAGAACCAGTTTCATTGACCGATTGATGCTGAGGTTTAGCACGAAACAGGCAACAAAGATAAAACTCACGGTCAAACCGCAATTCATTCCCATATTTTGATTTGAAGACTTCTCGAGCTTGAATTACCGCTTTTACCCGAGCCTTCTGTTCTGCCCATTCCTGCATAAATCCTGGTTGATTGATCCCTCTGCGCTTACTCATGATCATCATACAAAGTTCCTTCCAAAGCCATGTTTTATATCTCCTCGCCAGTTTTAGAAGTGGGGGAGGTAGTGACCACATTTGATTGCCAACCGCCCAGGTTTCTTCTCTCCATAGCTCATCAGGGACAGCCAGATACTCTGGAAACTCATCAAGTGGTGACCGCCCATGCCAGAATGAGGGTGGTACACCATGCCAGAATGAGGGTGGTACACCATCCTCGTCCATATCGCTCCAAGTTTCCAAGGAGTGATCTTCTGCGGAGGGCCATAGAGTCTGTTCTCTTTGATGCCTACGTCGGAGTGTTGAGGTTTCACTTGTTGACTCTTCCTCAGGATCCGTGTCCGATGACATGGCTCTTGGTTCATCAAAAGATGGTGCAGTAGTAGAAGAACGATAGCTTATCTCTGTCATCGTCAGTCAGAGACAAAAGAGTCATTGAGGATAACAGACCATCATCTGAATGATCCGCTTTGTCTTCTACATCTCCCACTCCCTCCAGATCTGAGTTGGTACAAGCTTGACGTCTTTTGCGCTTATTATGATCTTTATCCCTTGAACCTTGGACATCCACCAAAGTACGTTCTGTTGCAGTCATTCGTGAATAGTTTTCACATTCGTATTCGGCACCATGACAGTACAAGCCACACTTGACCCCTTTCTGTCGACATCTGCATCGTTTTGTGGAGCAATCTCCTTTACAGCCACAACGCACTTCAATCTTTTTAAGCTCTTCAATATCAGCAGAAGCAATGTGGACAAATGGTACCTACCAAAGAACTGCTGTGCAGCCTGCCTCAGCGAAATTTGAGGATGGTGCGCCCATTCAGCCCATCCCAAAAGGAGGGAAACAGGAAGCTCGAAGTCGTCTGCAGGATTTAACACTTTGCTTCGGTATAGACGATTGAGAACACCTTCAGAGCAGAGAAGTCGATAAGATTGAGGCTTATCGGTGAAAACCTCACATACCACACAAGGGATGCGACTTCCTAAAGCCCCAGGGCGATCAGAGGGAGGAACAAAGAGAGTAACTTTGTCGCCTGTCTTGTATTCCCATACTTTATGGTTTTGTCCGTACTGCTTGATCATTTTTTCTCGCATAAGCGCCTGTCGTGCTTGCATTTGAGTAACAAGACGATCTCCCACAGATGGATTGCGGCGTGCTTCGTTTTCTTCAGCAATCAGTTGTTGTATGGGGTTGAGGGGTTCATGTGAATCTGCGGTGGTTCCGTGATTAGACATGTCTGAGCAATCAGTGAACCCAATGGGGATTGACATAGCAGAAGCGGAGCAAGCGTACCTCCTTCAGCCTGAAGCTCAACATTCAAATTGCCCCTCTCCTCCCTCTCCTCCCTCTCCTCCCCCTCCTCCCCCTCCTCCCCTTCCTCCCCCTCCTCCCCCTCCTCCCCCTCCTCCCTCTCCTCCCCCTCCTCCTCTGCTCTGTTACCGCCATCGCTCTCCCATTCAAACGGTCGCTCCTCCATAGCATCCTCCTCATCCAGGTCTGTACCTTCCGCCAAGTTTACCACCTCAACTTCTTCACGGCCCTCAGCAGTATCCCACATCCTCATTTCACGATGCTTCCGACCGAAAACGGCATGGTAAGGGGTGTGGAGTGTAGCGCTATGTTTTGTCAAATTGATAGAGCGAATGACATGGGACAGACCATCTGCCCTACTTGTCATTAGCACAGGCTGCACAATGAGGGACTTACCAAGGGCGAGATGGATTCTCTAAGCACCACTTGGATAAGCGACTCTTCAATGTTGCATTTCCCTGTTCGACTAGCCCTTGCACACGTGGTGTACGAGGGAGACCATGCCGGATCTTGATATCAAAGCGTTTTGCAAGATCAACAATAAGGGTATTGCAAAACTCTCGTCCGTTATCAGATTGGAGGATATCTGGCGCCCCAAAGTGATTGATCCATGACATGAGATGAGTCTCAACATTCACGGCTGTTTTCCGTGTCATGGGAGACTGCAGGTTAGCTTACAAAGTGAGTGAATGTCGCAGAGTGTAACATCACATACAATTTGTGAATACTTTGTAAAATGGTCCTTGATATGACAGATCCACTGCATTCTCTGTTCTCCCACTGTACACGGATTGGCTCGCATGTCAACTAAGTCAATCTGGATACGTTCAAAAGGCTGTCGTGACTCGATTGGATTTAGTTTGCCGGTATCTTTGTTGCGAGCTCTGAAAGAGTCAGCACTTTCCGTTCGCTTCTTTGACTCACTTGAGCATGCAGACATTGCACGCTTTGATAGCTTTCACAACTTCTTGTTTGCCTATCCCTCGGTAATGTCTGGAAATCTCCTCATGTGTCTTATTCTGCCCAGCATGGGTGGTGTGTAAACAATGGACTAGTTTGATGATAGTAAGGACCCGTGATGCTGGGACTAGTTTGTACCATTCAGTCGCATCTGGTGTGTGCCGATAGAGTATGTCCTCCTTGTTGTCACTGAGACGATGTTGCTTGCGGACCTTGGTCAACCATGAGTTGTGGGGTGGTTGAAAGTGTGGAGGGGCTTGACCATTATGTTCAAGTACCCAACGGCGAGCTTGAAGATCTTCATCGGCCAGGGTATAGCTAGATCTCTCCTCTTTCAACCATTTATGGAAGTCCTCCTCAAATTGCTTCGAAAATGCGTTTTGGATGGGTGACATGATGTATGAGGATATTGTAGATGGATGCAAAGGATCAGTGGATTGAAATATGGACTATTTGAATCTAAGTGCGGAGTTTGGGCTGACCCATTCAGCTCCAGAGTGGCATGCCCGTACAGCTCCGGAGTGGCACTTCTCTGGCTGGGTCTGACCTAGTCCGTGCGGCTCCGGAGCTGCACGTCTCCGGCTGGGTCCCTAACAGGTGTAAACGGAGAGCGGAGTGGGAAAAGGGAACAGGAGTATGACTCTAAGGAACCCGTCATTTTATGAAGCTCATCGCCCGTGATTCTAGGAAGATTATATCTTGTTACACGCCCATCACTGGTGGACAGACATGTAGTCAATGTCTAAAACTGTCATTGCTCACTGCTCACGGTTGATCAGCAGGAAGCTGACATCTTACGGATATCATCCCCCCAATCCGTAGTTCACATGCAAAAACGCAAAGTCGTAGAAGCTTACAAGTATCCTGACGGTCACCAACATTGACCTCAGACCGTAAACCAGGAAATGCTATCAAGCAGTAAACATCATGAAGTTTACCCGGTAATTTTTTCCATCTAGAGGGTAACAAACTTTGTCACTTACCTGTTTGCCCAATTCTAAACTCACCAACTTGGCTGATGACTGCAATGCAGATGTACATGCCTTGTTCGCAAGACCCCGCCTTCTGAGGAGCGAGAGAATTGTCAGTTGACAATCATACTCTGAACTTGAAAATTACGTCAACAAATTTATACATCTACGGATTGCCCAACTCTGCATTTGACCACGGCAGACGGCCAAAACTTTCGTTATAGCTTGGTCTTGGAGCAGAATAATCCACTTCTCCTGACTGACGATTCTGCGTGCCACTAGCAGGAGGAAATAGGCTTGATGGTTTAGCGGGGCTCGGTGGGTAGGTATGTAATTGAAACCCACCTGTGGTCCAAACAGTGGTCTCAACGGCTCTGGCACCTGCAGAGAAATCAATGGACTGTAGATCAAAATAATTTTTGGCAGAGTGCTTGACAAGATAAAGTTCTTTTGGCGGCTGGCCTGCAAGGGACTCAATTGCTTGGGAGATTACTGTCAGGAACATGTCTGGTCCCATGCCAGTCATCCCTTTGAGATTCAAATCTGCGGAACAGACAGAATTTTGGAGGGTGGAATTTGGTAGCCCATGTATTCCATCTAGTCCAAAACCCTCAGACGTGATCTTGACTTTGTTCTGCCTTCCTGCTGGCTCATAGCAAACTCGTGTCTTAGTATTACATGTACAATGATAGCCATCTTGCCGCTGGGTGACTGAGTAGTCTGTGAAATGTGCATGTGGCTCTTCAATGACTTTGGCTAAAAAATGCACTTGAAGTGGGGTGGAATCCAATAGAGTGACATGTGGCTTGGTCTTGAATACCCAAGTGTTGGGTATGAAATCTTCCTCAGTGGCAAAGGCCATGATATTTTCCCCGCCTGAGGAAGTCCTGTATTCAATTTGCCTTTGATTAGGTTGGGCACCCATGCTGCTACTTTCGGGTGTGTCATGTGTGAAGAGGGTATTGAAGGACATGAGGTTCAAAGACAACAGTTCTCAAAGAGGAAGTTTTATCTGAGTACCCTCTAGGTGGTGGGAGGAACTTTGTAGAAAAATGGACAACACTGCTTATTTGGACTGTGGGAAAGAGAGGAATGAGAAAAAAGATAGTGCGCACGGTTTGAAAGAAAGGTGCGATCGAGGCCGAGGTCGCGCCCGTCCGATCCATTGTCCCGATCCTCGAATGGTGGGGTTGAGAAGAAGTCAGTTTAAGATTTCTCCTTTTGTCCAACACTTTCAGGCTGTCTTGGAAGTGAGGTGAGAAGATTCAGGCGGAAGAAAGGAGGGAATATAGTGGATGGGGAGAGGAGGAAGAAAGAAACTATGGGGCCTTCTAGGGGTAGCTTCTTCTCAACTACCCTTTTCCCTCTACAATCCGTGGGGCGAGTCTGACATTGCTAACGTTGCTCTTCATCACAAAGAGTGATTGTTGGCAGTTTTATAGAGACAGAGGACTGATACCAATCTGCTGAGCTTGAAAGCGCACGAAGAGAAAAGTGAATGGACGGGTGCCGTGTGTGGACAATCAAAACGGGATCAGCGGATATTTGTGTTCGAAGTGTACGACGAGTAAGTACGATTACGATGATAGTAAAGAGTTGCATCGAAGACTACGGAATAGAATCGTATGACCAATCCGTCTCGTAGTTACGTGGCATTACTAATCAACACTCCCCCTAATGACACTGACTCCAACAAACTAATTCCAACCAAGAGACTAATGTCAAGACCAGACCGAAGGGGATGTGACCTGCGTCGAGTATCGAAGGTGATCCTGAAGGGATATACTTGTAGGGACAACTAGAGGTCAGTGTGGATATTTTGAGTAGGTAGTTGTAGTCTTGGTGGACGTATGTATGACTATGATAGAACTTGTATGCAGAGACACACAAGATACATTCGTCAAAGTACTAACTATGGAATGTCACCTTATGTATGTGATGAATAATGTTTATCGGTGGCTGGTAGCATCGGGTTCGGTGGCTGGTTGTGGAGAATATACCCAAACCCCTGACTTCGACGATGTATGTATGACCGAGACGCGTCATGACACCTAAGGACCATGCTAATATAATGTACGCTTGCAGGCGGGGGACTACCAGTTGAAATCGAACGATATAGTAATGCATAAAGACATGAACGAACGAACAAGAAGAAAAGTTTCAACACGCATAGCTTATTCGATCCCTCCAACACTCCCACCAAGCAAGCGCTGTTGAACAGAAACTACACAGGTGCCATCAATGCTGACTGGGAAGGACGATAGACCAAGCATTTCTGTGAATCGAGCAAACAAAGTTGGTGACAAGGGTTTTGTGAGTCCATCAGCAAGCATTGCAGCAGTTTTTACATACTCAATATTGATGATCGATCGTTCGACGAGTTCACGAAGATAATGAAACCGAATATCGATCTGTTTTGCTCGAGAGTGACCAGTTGGATTTTGAGCGATGGCAATCAATGCTTGATTATCCCCATAGAGTTTGATTGCTTTCTTGGGAGCAAATCCAAGTTCTGATAAGAGCAAACAAAGCCACATTGCTTCTTGAGCAGCTTGCGCAAGTCCCACATATTCAGCATCTCCTGTGGCAAGAGCAACAGAAGGCTGAAGCTTGGATTGCCAACTGATGGTTCCACCCCAAAGTCTAAAGACATAACCGCTTGTACATCGACGTCACTCGGTATTGCTTGTAGCAAAATCTGCATCACTAAATCCATCCAGCTCGCTCCCACCATTCACATATCGCATACCTGTTACGGGGTAACAACAAATCGAGAGGACTCTATTGAGTTCAACGGATTAGGACAGAAGAAAGCGGGAGTTGGAGGCAGTGCTGCAGTAGGTAGGGACGGGTTTTCCCCTTTTGAGATTTCCCCACTGGGTTTGCTCAAAAGCGGTTTTTCACCTGTCCGAGTATGTACGTAGACGCTTGCAGCAGGAAGAGGACGAGGACAAGGATATCCGTAGACAGTATATAGTACAATCAGCAAAGTACTAACTTTGCTGATTCTTCAATATCATTATTTGGCTTCATCGATTGCAGAGGAGACACAATCCATTAGCACCAGAGACATCTAGACTTCTACGAGACCTCCATCGAGTTCAATCCAACCTGCGACTTAGTCGTCGTGTTTCTAGTACCGTTACAATACCGATTGTTCGGGTGTGTTTGAGATATTGTAAGACAGAAAGGACTGCTTCCCAATGAGTGATAGAGGGGTCACTTGAGAATCGACCGAGCAGTACAACCACATATGCAAGATCCGGTCGAGTTCCAAGCATAGCATACATGAGCGAACCAATGGCTGTCAGTGTCACGGTCCTGTCCTTGACAGACCTTGATGAATCAAAGACAGGTGGACTGCAAATGAACGCTAGCTTGGACAACGGCGGTTAGTATGTTGTCCGTAGACTTGTGATATGGTCGGACGACTAAGTGACTTGCGAAGGATCCGGGCAGGTCGAGATGACGATAAGGGTGTATGTGATAGTGTGGACAGGGGTAGTGATGGTGAGGGATGTGTCGGATGTAAGTAGTATGTCAAGATGAGGTCTTTTGCGAGTGGCAAATAATATTTTGATCCTTGAGAAAAGGAAAACTACAAACTACAAATGGCCTCCTTATATCCTTTTCTGAGGGATTTGTGATGTGCAAACTCGTCGTATGAATTCAGAATCATCCGGGTTGATCTCATGTGGATTCACACTGATATCATGTGGATTCATCCCAGAATCAGGTGAATCCATGCGGTCTCGTATGAACTCTGGTGAGTTCATGACGATTTCACACAATATTCAGGTGATTTCTGACTGAACCCATATGGGTTCAGGTGTATTCATGGTGAACTCATATGGTATCATGGTGAACTCATACGTTATCATGATGAACTCGTATGATATCATGGTGATTTCACATGTACTGATATGAACTCATTGGAATTCATATTGAAGTCGCATGAATTCAGTTGGAATGTGTTGAAATCACGTGAACTCGGGTCACGCTTGGTAGAGTCGTGACAGTCAGGTATCGAGCTTGATCGGTCGAGGGTTCTTCAGGCAGGCAAGCATGCAGGATTGTTTTGTCTTTCATGGGCGTGTTTTTTGGTTTGCAATCTTGCATTTTAAAACCTTGTGAGGATGGTGTCAATGTACTGAGTTTGGCACAGATCGAGCTGGCGCTTCGAGCGATCGCGCTTGACTTGTAAACCAAGGATGAAGTGCAGCTCGCCAAGATCTTTCATGTCATATCGCTTTGACATTTCGTTGATCGATCGCGCTTGACTTGTAAACCAAGGATGAAGTGCAGCTCGCCAAGATCTTTCATGTCATATCGCTTTGACATTTCGTTCTTGAAGAATTTGAGCGTGCTCAAGCGAGATGCAGCAATGGTGAGGTCATCCACATACACTCCAACAATGATCAGATCATCGAACTGACCTCAAACATAGATTGAGTGATCTGACATTGTTTCAACGAACCCGAGTGAGCAAAGTGTTGAGTCGAGTTCATGGTACCAAGCTTGAGGTGCCTGCTTGAGTCCATAGAGTGATTTGTCCAGTTTCCAGACCATCTTGTCATCTTGAGCAAACCCTTCTGGTTGTTCCATATAGACTACTTCATCGAGCGAACCGTAGAGGAAGGCAGTTTTTACGTCCAGCTGATGAAGTTCGAGATCGTGCATGGCAGCCAGTGCCAGGATCGTTCGAATGGATTGAAACTTGGCAACAGGAGCAAACGTCTCATCATAATCAATGCCAGGTTGTTGAGTGAAACCTCGAGCGACTAATTGAGCCATGAACCGATTGATGTCACCACTGGCAAATTGTCACGAACTATGTCGTGACACCTCGAATATCCCACCATCAGTGACCCTCCTTTGACCATCAAAACTCCTATGACGTCTTAACCTCTTCACCCTACACGTAACCTAGGACATCTGAGACCAACTGCGGCGAAGTACAACGGGAGAATAATGTATACAGGGGTCTAAAGCATAAGGATGGCGAAGTGCGGCGAAGTTAGACGGAGTTAGGGGTATCTAGGGACGATGGGAGCAGAAGTACGGCGAAGTTAGACGGAGTTAGGCTAAGTAGGGACAATGGGATCCGAAGTACGGCAAAGTTAGACGGAGTTAGGGTAAGTAGGGACAATGGGATCCGAAGTACGGCAAAGTTAGATGGAGTTAGGGTAGGTAGGGACAATGGGAGCAAAAGTGCGGCGATGTTAGGCGGAGTTAGTCGAAGGGGGGAGAAGTATGGCCAAGGGCTTGGGGAAGTTGGACGAAGTGCGTTGAAGTACGTCAAAGCGCGAGAGGGTTGGGTGAAGATCTAGGAGGAGTAGATAATATTAGCTGAGAAGATCGCTGAAGTTCTTCTGCAATCCTTGATTGTTGTCAGTAGTGAAAGATTGATAGAGATAGCTACAATATAAATCGAGATACATCGCCATCAGTAAAACCCCTTAGACAGAGTAACTACGTTGAAGTACGGCGTAGTTATATTCCTTTTGTTGTCTGCGCCCTCCTGGTTGGGTGAGACATCGAGTTAGAAAGCACCAAGTTAGCCGAGGTTCGTCGACCGTTGGTCTATTAGGAAGAAGTTATTCGACGGCCGTGACACAAATCTCTTGACCCTAAAAACCCATTTGCAAGTTACAATCCTGCCTCGAGCGATCGATCGAGGAACCAGATGATAGACCTTTGCCTTTTGAAGACAATTCATTTCATCCTGAGCAGCTAATTTCCATTGCTTTGAGTCGAGCGATTGGATTGCTTCTTCCCATGAGCAAGGCTCATCGAACGAGATGCGTGCCGCAAAGGCAGCGAGCGAGTATGGTGAGAAGGGGTTTGGCCATTGAGGGAGTCGAGCATCTGAAGGAGAAAAATCATGGTCGCCCGGTCAACCGAGGAAATCGTTCAGCTCGATCTCATATTCTGGGTACTGGGAGACAAGACCGAATGTTCGACCCGAGCGAG